TAGATGGAGATTTTCTAATTTTAATGACTCAAATTTGTTACAGTTGTCCCAAACCACGTCAGCGTAGTCGAATAAGGGCAAAATAAATGTATTGTAAATAATCTCTAAAGACTTACGAGAAATACGATATTTTAAGCCACGGAGACAGTCAATAGAGCGTTTGACTTTAGATATTACATATTCAATATGGTTATCCCACTGACAATTACTTTGTAAAATAAGACCAAGGTGTTTGTGGTATATCGATTCCTTAATTCTTACATTGTTAAAATTTAATTCAAAAGAGGTTTGGAATTGTTTTCTAGAGAATGTCATGGAAACTGTTTTAGGGGGTTAAATCTTACTTTCCATTTAGTCGACCAGCTGTTAATCAAATTCAGATCTAAATTCATTACATTTTCACATTCGCCTGGGTTTTCAATAGTAAGATACAACGACGTATCGTCTGCAAATAAACGTGTATTAGAATTGATATTTTCAGTAATGTCATTGATATATATAAGGAAAAGAAGTGGACCCAATACTGATCCTTGGGGAACACCTACGGTTATATTATTTAAATTAGAGCTTTCACCTTTAATAACTACTGATTGTTTTCTATTCGTCAAATAATCTGATATAAGAGTTAAAAGTTTACCTCGGATACCGATGCAACTCAGTTTGTGAATCAGACCCTTATGCCACACACGGTCGAACGCTTTACTAATATCACAAAATATGGCTTTTACCTCTTTACCGTTATCGAGAGCCGACGAAATATAATCATATATGTCAATTAATTGATAAATAGTACAGTCATTTATTCTGAATCCCGATTGCAGAGGGCTTAATAAATGATTGGTTAATAGAAAATTGTGTATATCTTTGTAAATTAGTCTTTCAAAGACTTTTCCAAGTAAACTTAATAATGATATAGGTCTATAATTCGCGGGATCGTGAGTATCCCCTTGTTTAAAGATTGGAACAACGATAGCCTGTTTCCATATATTCGGAAATACAGTTGTATTGTGTAGGAAATTAAACAATGCAGAAAGGGGCTGGCTTAATGACGTAGCACAATTTTTCAAAATATTTTGTTGTTGATACGTCGTATGTTAATAACACTTCAAAAAAAAGTATGGGATATTCAGAAAGAATACAAAACTTCGGAAATGCACTGCTGTTTTTATAAGGGGGGGGGGGGTAACCAGTGTATGTTTATAACAGGCTAATTGCCTACAGATGAACATAAACAGTTCATATGGGCGGCTTATCTGACGGCCCCGTGCCAAAAGTGAAAATGGACGTTTTTGATTTTTGTCTTAATAATGATTAATTGCTCCACCAATCCTCAGACATTCAGCAATTTGTCGTGGCACGATTTGGGGCAATCTGATCCACTCCTCTTGCAATGCCACGGCCAATTCTTGCTGTGTTGTCGGTTGGCGTTGACGTCATCGAACACGTCTCCCGATCATGTCCCAGGCATGCTCTATATGGGAAAGGTCAGGACTCATGGCTGGCCAAGGCATATGGACAATATGGTGGCGCTGGGGGTAGTCATTCACGACACGAGCGCGGTGGGCACGGGCATTATCATCTTGAAAGATGAAACGTCGATCTGCACGCTGAGCAAAGGGCAGAACTGGTAGTACACACCAGTGACCCTTCCTTGAACAATATGCAAGTCCGTTCTGCCAGTCATGGCGATTCCTCCCCACACCATAACAGACCCACGCCCGAATCTGTCATCCTGTCTGACGTTAACATTAGCATGACGCTCATTTACACGCCTCCAAACGCTAGCACGCCTATCGATGAAATCCAGACTAAATCTGAGAACATCACACGCGCCCATCGACGATTACCCCAATTTCTACGCTGCCTACACCATTGACGCTAGCGAGTTAATGGAGGCAAAACACGCGGTCGTCACGCATGGGCTGCATGTTTGAGGTCTAACTCGAATTCCTGTAACTTGGTACAAGTTTATAGAAAGCTGATTGGCAGTTTGTCCTCGATTTCCCAGGACCTGTGTAAGAATGTGTCGATCCTGGGCTTGTGTAGTAGCTCTAGGACGACCTGAGCGAGGTCTATCATCAACATTGTGTGGTTGTTGGTACCTGTTCCACAGTCTGCTGATCATAGACTGTGACCCATTAAGCATGTTGGCTACTGCTCGCTGTGTAGAACCCAGTTAAAGCATGCCAATAGTACGTCGACGTTCATCATGTTGAAGACGTCTCATAGTAAATTAAACGTAACACACTAAAGCAAAGATATGCTAAACAGTAAATCTTATGCAAGAACCGATAGGAAAACAAACATGGATAGGATGAACTAGCACGCGGCAAATTTCATCAACCCTTCCTTGCAGTGTCAAACTTGACAATGAACCCCTCCCACGTGTGTGGCGCTATTGCGTGTCGCACGTGCAGCTCAGTGGTTCTGTTGGGGCGATAAGTTCTTCATCTGTGAACATACTCTCAAAGCATGTCAAGTGTCCATGACTATTTATCATATCATAACCTGCATTTGTATTTGCATTTCAATATCCCCTACTTTTTTTAAGAGTATATATATAATGACATAAAGTGGTCCACTATATTTCATCTGTTTCCAAAGTCTGTGTAGCTATAATACTTCTAAATTCTTCAATAACCACACATTTAAATTACTGTAATTGGTTGGTCATGTTTCTAGCAAACTATCTGATAAAACGTATACATCACCTTTAATAACATAAAGCTGTTATTAGTTTTTAAGGGGATTATAAAATTGTGTAAAGCCTTAATTTTAAATCCATTGAAGAAAGTAGATTGCGCCGTGGTCTTGGAATAAAAGGTGGCAAACAGATTCTTAGCCTAATAGTTTATTCTCTTGGTATCTGTAAAACCGCTTATAAAAGGACAATATTGGTGTCGGCAATTATCACATATGTGATAGAACTGGTTATACATGTTCCAAATATAATTTTAAGATAGAGATCACTGCTACGGCAGATGCGGAACGAAAATTTGAAGAAACCGAAAGTGACGTAAAAAAAAATGTATATAACTGAATGAAGTAACTATAGCGATACTAGTATTATTCACATGCCAAGCCCATAATCAACGCTCTAGGCCACCGGATGCTTTTTGATTTTCAGCGGTTTAAACACGATTGCTAGTTAATGATCTGATTAAAAATGGATAAATAATCAAGACTTTGTTTATTATTGTAACAACGGTACCAGTGACAATTGTCCCGCTCAAAATGAAGTAATTTGACTGAAATTTTCAATATATTCTCTATTCATTATCTATTTTTTAACTATTATAGCGAGCACCGTCAGCTCTTTATCCAAATCTTACATGATGCATTTTTATACGCCCACATTTTCATGTGGACGTATATTGTCGTGGCCCCTGTCCGTCCGGACGACCGTCTGTCCACGATTTGTTTGTGGACACTACAGGTCACAATTGTACGAAAAATCGCGTTTTTAGCTTGTGGACCCTATAGAGGTCATAATTTTTATCCGATTTAAAAAAAAAACGCCTTATTATATCACCGTTACACCCTTAGGACGACTGATTTCGAATTTCGTGAAATTCAGGTAAAAAAATAGTAGACAAAATGGACGCCCTTCGTTCTCAAATAGCGTAAAAAATATGGTATATCAAGGTTGTGGACCCTATGGAGGTCACAATTTTAATCCGGCTTTGTTGAAACTTGAAATGTAAGTTTAAAACCCAATGATCCTGGTTCTTTTCGATAATCGCGCATATCGGACCATAGCTTCCTGAATTATGGCCCCTGATCGTACGAAAAATCGCGTTTTTAGCTTGTGGACCCTATAGAGGTTATAATTTTTATCCGATTTTAAAAAACGCATTATTATATCACCGTTACACCGTAACGGCCCAAAATTGACAGACAAAATGGCCGCCCCTCGTTCTCAAATAGCGTAAAAATATGGTATATCAAGGTTGTGGACCCTATAGAGGTCACAGTATTTATCCGATTTTGTTGAAACTTGAAATGTAAGTTTATAACCCAAAGATCTCGGTTTCTTTCGTATTGTAATTTCCTGAATTATGGCCCCTGATTGTACGAAAAATCACGTTTTTCGCCTGTGGCCCCTATAGAGGTCATAATTTTTATCCGATTTAAAAAAAAAACGTATTATTATATCACCGTTACACCCTAAGGACGGCTGAGTTCGAATTTCGGGAAAATTGGCCCAAAACTGACAGAAAAATGGCCGCCCTTCGTTCTGAAATAGCGTAAAAATATGGTATATCAAGGTTGTGAACCCTATTGAGGTCACAATTTTTATTTTCCGATTTTGTTGAAACTTGAAATGTAAGTTTATAACCCAAAGATCTCGGTTCCTTTCGATATTTGCGCATATCGAATTGTAATTTTCCTGAATTGTGGCCTTTGATTGTAGGAAAAATCACTTTCTTTTTAGCGTGTTCTCTATCCATCTCTTGAAAATGTGGGCGTATCCTGCCTGGCGGCCGCTGGTTAAATACTAGATCTAATCCTTAGGTCCAATCCGGATAATCTAATTTTTATTGATTTTAAGTCAATAATTCAGTCAAATATTAATGTAATAACAGCGAAATCCCACTGTACTACTTTCAATCAAATATCTCAAATTTTAATGAATAAAAACATTCCGGGGGAAAAAACGGCATACGGATGAACAGGGATAAAACCAAAAGTATCTCCGGTGATAATTAAAAAGGAATCAATAATATTATTTTAGACTATTGAACCCTCGTATCAATGAGCCGTCGAACTATAAAACATTCCCAATTTAGAACAGCTGATATTCTCATGACATCGCATCTAGTTTTCTAAAAAAGTAGGCAATAAAGTTTAAAATTGAAAAAATTATATCTCTTAAATAACATACATTTTTTTTATCTTATGTTATGTGACGAGCTTGCCATATAACATACATATCCTTGTTATAGACGTTGAGTGGGGGTTTGGGTTTCACAATTTAAATAAAGGTGATATCATAGGCATCCGCATACACTTAATACCCTATAGCTAGGTAGACACATACTTCATGGTGTACGTTATAGATATGAAATGACCCTTGCATTCCCTATATAGGTATAATTCATCACAAATATTTCAAAGATGGCGACAAGACTTCACAACCCAACAAATGAATATGGATACAGAGTTTGTTTATTGTTGTTATTTGGATTATTGTTATTGTTACCTGCCGTAGGTGAGTTAATTAGTAATTATCAATCTAAATACATGCAATTATGTAATAATAATGTATGGGGTTTTATTTGCTAATGTTAGGGACAACGATAAGTGTTTTAGTATTTCGCATCACGTTTAAAATATTACATAATTTATTTTACGATATCTGTTTTACGTATAACTCTGGGATTTCCGCGGTGCCAATACACAATATTATTGATATTTTATTTTTGTCTGTGTTCACCGCCCAATTAAAATTAATCACGATATCACGGGCTCAACGGGATATGCTTCCGTGAATACCCGGTACCACTTTCATTTACTGTATTTCTACACAGATACTGGTGTTAAATGATTTTGACGACTTTGTCCCCGGGTTACCATCAATTGGGTTTTATTTTTATACTTTATTTTTCTACTGTTATTAGTTCGATTACATACGAATTTTCTTTCAGAAATATCATTTTATTCTTTCTACGAGGTTCTTCTGATTACAGTTCAACGGGTAAAGTTAACTTGATGAAATAATGAATTAACTATATGTCTGGGTGAATTTCAAGGAGGGGTTTATAGTTGAAAGTATGCCCGCCCTTCCCTTTACTCTTGGTCGTTCAAGCTTATCTTTTTTAAAAAAAATATGTGTATACTTAGTCAAACTAGTAAACATAATATAGTTGATTCAAACTTTTATAATATATTTTGATTTTAAACGAGATACGATGATCATCTAGACAATAAAAATAACGACTATCCCATTTCTTTTATCTGGGTCGCCTTCTTTTAACACTTTAGCAAATTATATAGAATTTCGATTAATATCATGTATATTTTTAATGAGAGACACTCTGGGACGATTGCATCCTGGTTCACGGTTGATGAGTTCCAATAAATCGCGGATGTCGGTTGGGAAACTCGATTCTTTTTAATAAACCCTATTAATGGGTCTTTTGTTTGTTACATTGGGTTGAGTTTTTTGGGGTTTGTTTTCGTTTCAAAAAGAAATATGTTTATACTAAAATGATTCATGAATGTATTAATATACATATATTCAGTACAAAACGTCATATTATTTGACATATTACTTATTGTCTATCTGTAATAATATATCACATAGATCTATAATTACATGTGACGTATGGCAACCTGTATGTTTTATTACTTTAAGTATTTATTTATTGACTTATTCATAGCAGATCATTGTATAGCCTTATCACATGTTATTCGTTGGGAGTATTGTGCGTTTATATAATCAAATTTGACCGTGCCCTAGTCGCTGAATACTTACAGTGTATAACTTGAATAGAAGTATTTGTATGTAAAATATATTGTATGAAAGAAACGGACTTGCACATACTTAAAAGTGAATCTTCTTTTATATTATTAACAATAAAATTGTTCGTACTAAAGGGATATGTAATATAAAATATCTCAAAAGACACAAAATAATCATTTCGAGACTAACTCATGTTTCTGTTTTATTTCATTATAAACCTGTAACGGTAAATCTCTTTGAGGTATATTTTATGCCCGGAATAACTTGGTCTGATAGTCCGGGCGGCTTTGGATATATACAGGGGAATTTAGGGTTATTCTTCTGAAAGTTTTTCTTTAAACCTGTCACAGGTTATTCTTCCAGGGTAGAGTTTTTTTTCATAAGAAACATGATCTAAGATTTTTCTTATGAGAATTCTGGGATATTCTCATTTTGCGTACATGTAAACATAGACCGTTTATAAGTAAGATAAAGTCCTCGACTTCGGTTATGCTGGGAAAGAAAGACTTCAGAAAAAACCCTCGACAGAAAAACCTCGGCCTACCTCGTGCTTTATCCTACACATAATTCGATTCAATAGCAGTGGGAGAAACCAGAGGACCACTAGAACCCCCCCCCCCAGACTGGATACTCCGTGTCGCTTACAAATTTGGGCTCGAAACCACGACACTTGAGTCAATAACAGGCCTTATTATGAGCTAAAGCGCATGCATTAGACCCACTCCCCATGTAATAAAATCATCGAACTAAATTACTCCATATGTATTCTGTAACTAGTACATTTGTCTTGTACACTGTCCAGTCCGATCTTTGGTATATTAAACTATTTCGTCGGGCTGTTTGAAACGTATCGTTCTTCTGCCCTATGCGGTCAGATTAACCTAATTTGGTGGTGTTAGAGAAAACATATCGTTTTTGGAAATGGTTGATATCTACACGGCGGAAAATGATGGATATCTACCGGTGGAAAATGATGGTGGATATATATAAGGTGGAAATTGATGAATATTTACACGGTGGAGAATGATGAATATGTACACTAAACATATAAAAAGTTAAAAGATAAATTCAAACCCCAATCGCAAGCGTTTAAAACTACATTGTTGCCATGTTGATTATATTTTGTCATTGATATACGACACTCACTTGAACGCACTTGAAATTAAGTTGAAGGGAGCGTTTATTAAACACTATAAATTATATTAAGATAAACAGTATAGTATAAAAGGGTTGAAATAACAACTTGAACCTTAGTCACAATCAGAGATTTGTGCGTACATGCTGCATTATAAACTTAATCTTTTTAAACATTATTTAATGGTACTGTGATTGTACATAAGAATGGTATCCTGTGTCAAGTTCTTGTTAACTCGTTAGCATTCAAAATGGCCATACACAGTTTTCGTGTTTAGCCTCAGCAGCACAAAATGAAGGGTCACATTTATGACCTGTAGTGTGTCCGTGAATTTAACTCCGGTAACCTCCTAACCGTCCCAACTCTTTGCAACCTTTTTGAATTATATACCCAATTAGTATTATAAAATTGAAATGAAGCAAAATCGTCTAATCTGACTAACTCTTTTTTTCTTATCAATTTAACATTTGATAGATTCATTGACTACATAGTTTTATTTTGACAGTAAGACAACACATTTATATGGATAACAATTACTGATTTATTAAACCCGAATTCGAAGATGGTACTCTCGTCGTGCTTTGTAGAGACGGGGGCGGGATGGCTGAATGGTTAGCGTGCGCGGGTTGTATCGAATCCCCGGTTGTACGTGACAAGTAGTAGGGTCGCGTGTCCAACCTCGTGGGTTTTCTCCGGGTCCTCCGGTTTCCTCCCACTGCTAAAGACCCATATGCGCAAGCGAATTATTGAAATAAAATTAAACCATATGTTAGTCCCGAAATGACCTAGTTTGTGTCGAGTGGACGTTAAACCCCATCTCTCTCTCTCTCTCTCCATCTCTCTCTCGCTTTGTAGAGACGGGCTAACAATCGTCGAAACGTCAGTATAATAAAATTCGTCAATTATTTATTTTGCCACTTGGTTTACTTAAGAGTTGGAATATACGACAACAGATATAATTCACTATTCGTCAAATTCTGACAAATATTTGCTGAGAAATGCTGTTGTAAATTTCAGGATTCATTCTAAATTGTTTGCAAAAAGTCACATCTCTGAGAAGAAATGAACCACACTATATTAAATAAATATTTCAAAATTCTGATTTGTTCTTGTCTCTTGTGTCTTGAAAAAGCGTAAATAGAAACATTTATTAATCATTTTGATTAATCATTATTTCTGTATAAATTACTTTTAATTGGTTCATTTATTGAATGTGTTGTTTTATATTTTTATTTAGTTTGAGAGAGGATTTGGAGAAAAGGAAGTACTATTATTTGAACTGCAGAAAATAAAAAAGCAAAGGGCTTCTATACCATATATCTTCTTCGTCACGATTTTGTGCAATTGGAATTTTACTACTTCCCTTAAACAATTCCTCATATAAAATCACTTATGTACGTGTTAAAGAACGCATGGCAGATTTATTGGTTTAAGTGCAAGTCTAATTTCGAATAAGAATACGCAATAATGTTTAAAGTAGACATACCATAATATATACCTTTAAAATAGTTCTATTTGTGTGAAAGACTACTGGGTACACAGAAAGACTACCAGACACACAGAAAGACTACTCGAAATCATTAAATGTCCATAACTTATCGGAGCAAGGGTTTAATTAAGATAGTTAAATGTTCCCTTGAGATATTGAATACATCCGCGCTATATAATAATTTAACGTTAAAATGGATAATCGAGCTATGTTTATTGTCGTAGCAATGGAACTTGACAATCGATACTATTTACGCTTTATCTTGTCAAAACTTCTAACACTCATAACGTCTCTCACAATAAAGTAACAAGGAAATTTTCATTATATTCATTTTTCAGTATCTACTTTTGAACTGCATGTATTATAGTATTAATAATGTATCTTTAAGCCACTTAAACCGTCATATCAATAAAATAAATGACATTATAAGTGAGTTTTTTTCCTCACATATTATTGGGTTTTTTTTACAGATACGTTATTGTGTTATCAATGTGCTTCTGGTAGTCCAGATGGTGGCAATTGTCAGAATGATTTGAAAGGCATGATAGAATCAGCTGAAGGCGATCCAGAGAAAGAAATTACACCTGAAGATGGGCGATATACGAAAAACTGTACTTCTAGTAGCACTGTTAACCATACCTTAGATTACTGTGTTATAGAAACATTTAAATCAGCAGGTAATTTTGTCTTATATTATAGAGAGAGAAATGGGGTTTAAAGTCCACTCGACACAAACTAGGTCATTTCAGGACTAACATATAGTTCAATTTTATTTCAATAATTTGCTTGCGCATAGGGGTCTTTAGCAGTGGGAGGAAACCGGAGGACTCGCAGAAACCCCCACGAGGCTGGACAGGCGATCCTACTCTGTGTCATGTACACCCGGGGAATCGAAACCACGCCATTTGACTCATTGACAGACATTATGATACAACGCGCACGCGCAAACCATTCGGCCATCCAACCCCCCGCGTCTTATATTATAACATCGATGTATAATAAGAGTCCTACATTAAAGATGCATTAATGTAAGAGTAAGTCTGCATATTGCAGTTCATTGTTTTGGCTTAAAATTGTTATATGAATTTTTGACACCACAAACCCACAATCAACTCTTTAGATCACCGGATGGCAGTGATGTTTAATGGTATAAAACATTATCGCCATTTAATAATTTAATTAAAAAACGGATAATCGAAACTTTGTTTATTATCGTAGCAAATGATACTTGACAATCGCTCAGAATAATGTAATTTAACTGAAATTTTCAGCAGATTCATTTTTTATTATCTATTTTTGAACTATTATAGCAAAAACGATCAGTTCTTTACCTAAATCTTATATAATGCATATTTAACCGAGTTCTGTTGACAATAACCGATCCAATTACAATTGAAACATTTCCCAAAACATTGTAAGCGTTTCGTTTCTATTTAGTCGTTATAATCATGGATGGACTGATAAGGAGCCTGCAGGTATGGTAAGCTCATTGGCGTAGTTTGTGAGCCTTTTTTTATTTTTGGGGCTCGTTTTAGTCTTGAATGTACGTCGTTTTGATGATTTGGTATGATTGTGGCATTTTAAACTTGTGCATAAGCTAGAAACATCAAGATAGACTCTAGAAAGCATTAGACCGGACTACCGGAGGTTCAGTGCGGGCATCAGATGGGCACAAGACTCAACTTTTCTATAGTAAGAATTTGCGTAGAATATGTTGCCGAGTGGTAATCAGTCCGCCGATGGGCGTTTTCCAGATATTCGAGGTCAAAGGTCAAATGAAGTCATTTTCACTGAAAGAGAATGCGCAGCAATTCTTGTATCATAAAAACATGCTGAAAATGATCGAAAGTAATCACACTTTCAATAAAAATGTAAACTTGCTAAATTCACCTTTGTTCTTTGTGACCCCGGAGGTCAAAAGATCAAAATTTCCGTTTTTGCACTAGGAAGATTTACGTACTTTTGAAAGAGGTTTCGAAGTGTTTTGGTTCTGTCATGCAAGATCTTTTTGGACGTTCCAAAGTAAACACACGGTGCTAAGACCACCTAAAGATAAATTCTAAATGTTCCTATTATTAATTAGAACATGTTTCGCTTTAGTTTTTATATTTTAAGCTGATATTTTATTGCTTTAAATCTTCCTAGTGCAAAAACGGAAAGTTTGACCTTTTGACCTTCGTTAGATCAGAAGGTCTGTCATTGAGTCAAGTAACGTGTTTTAGAATACCCACTTGTACGTGACTCGAGTTTCCTCCCACGGATAATGACCTCTACGCGCAAGCGAGTTATTGAAATAAAATTGAACAATATGTTAGTCCCCAAATTACCTAATTGTTCTCGGGTGGACGTTAAACAAGAGGGGTTTAACATAGGCTAAGCCTGTTCCCCAATCCCATTCAGATATCCTGAATAAAATATTGTTCATAAAAAAAACCAAGAAACAAGACATGCTGAACATTGGGTAGCAATAGCATTTTCTTAAACAAATGGCTTTGATATGGTGTATCTATGTAAAATGGACCGTTCGTGTGGTTAACTTGACAATGAATTCTATAAATATATGTTCAACATTTTAATGTTGTCTTCGCAGGTTTAGTCAAGAGTTACATTAGAGAATGCAGTGATGGAGTGGTATTCTCTTATACTGGGAACATAAATGATTTGGAAAAACTAGATAATGTACGACCTGACAACGAAACAACCTGTACATATCGTCTAACCAGTAACATGCATGTATGTGTTACACTGTGTACGACGGATTTTTGTAACGGTCCACAGATCCCAGAAAACAACACGAATTGTACAGAAGGTGACAATGTAACGTGTTCTGCCAATAGACCCCTGTGGCTGATGAACAGTCCTATTGGTGTCATTATTAATCCTTTTATGATTCATCCATTGATTTTACCAACGTTTATTTATGTATTTTTTGCTTTCTTCTTCTGTTGATTAATCATAATTCGATTAAGACGTTTCCTTGTTAACGGTGTCTTTTCTTTGCAATATATCTCTCTCCATAGTAATACAGACACATTGTAACAAAGGGTGGCTAACGTAGTAGGGGGCCAATCATAAGTCCTGGATGTTTTGGAAGGGGCATCCGCAAATCTCTAATCGGACAATGTATATATTTAATAATTAAAAAGAGATATTATTATATTAATAATACAAGCTATTTGTAAGGTATAAAGAACATATATTTTCCATTATTTAAAATCTTGATGTAGCTGATTCTAAACCGGACGTTGATCTCAACCCCTCAGTGGGTTGGCTTGATGCCTTACTTGTTAGTTACAAAATAACCTCGATCGATTTGCAAGTAAAGTGGTTGGACTTTATAATGCATAATACAGTACTCGGCAACAATGACAAAAGTAAACTAACGAGTCTCATATTTTCTAGTTGGCCTATCAGGATATTTGATGCAAACACGTAACCCGTTTCTTGCTGTAAATAATGAAGTATATTGACGTTTGATGATTTGCATCAAGATACACCATGTTATAGATATAATAAATTAGGTTTGTATATCATATCGTCTTATATTGTAAACCAGTCCACTGAAATAAGATCGGATATATTTGATAGACATAAATTAACCCCCACTGTTGTGAACTGTAAGTAAAATTAAATAAAATGTGTATAATAGTATCATAACAAGTGTTTATTATAGTTATAATACAATTGAAGTAATCAAAAATAACCGTAATAGACCCCCTAATTACTTATTCGACACTCACCCAGGCATAATTCCGGATAAAGTCCCAGACCTTATAAAGGCGGATGGATCAGTCCAGGAACATTTAGGGCTCAAGTAACCCTTATGCACTGGAGTCTTTTCAGGGCAAATTACTAATACGCAAGGGGAATGGGATTGATGACAAGTATATATTGTAACTGTCGTTCACTTCACTAACTTTATGTTATACAAAAGGTTTAGCACGTATTGGCAAATATAGCCTGTGACTGTGATACCCAAGCTTACAATATATGGAAATTTCAAACAACTTTCGGGCATACGGTGGAATAACAAATTATTATATGATGTAGTTGGCAAAATGACCGAAGTCTTTTACTGCATTGACCATGAATTAAAACATTTTTCTGGAGCACTTTGCTTGGCAAAATATCATCTATATAGCTGGCAAACTGAAGTACCCGGGATCTAATCAAATGCAAATTTTTACTTTTCTTTTAATTGAATACCGCAAATTTGTACTGATTTGACTATGGATTCATACATTTTTCGAGCATTGAGTATCAGCTGTGAATACAGCTTTAACAATCTGATTGGGTGATTGGAATTCGGGTCGGCATAGAGTCTGATTTCGGTTGCAAAATCACGAGCTAGAATAGCAGAAAACACATCTGCGGAGGTTAAAACTTCAACATTTTCTCGGGGAAATTCTGGTCAACCATCTAATTATAAATTAGGTTATATTGGCAACACTGAAGTTGCTGCTATTCACGCGTTGGAATAGCAGGGAAATGCGTTTGTGACGGTCAAATTTTCCAATCTATCTTAGGGAGGCTTCCACACGGTATCCTCCGTGGCTTCGGCGCTCGCTGACGACCGGCGCCGCCGTCCGTAAACAGGAATATTTTCGGGCATTGCATTTCAGGTCTCTCTCAAGCCCCCCCCCCCCGCCCCCAACCACACCACCACCACCACCACCATCCATCGGGCCCCCACGTTTGTTCACTTCGTGATCCTTGGTGTGAATATAGACTAAATACCACAAGTTTCGGGATTAAATTTTAATGTCGTTGTTAACATCTGTTGAATGAAAAATAAAATTATGGAGAGCTTTGTTTCTTGGCCTGAAATCATCAATTATCATGCAGATTTGATCCCGAGCCGTTCTCTGAATAAAAATCGTGCGTTTAAATCCAAACTATATCCAAGCCATCCGTGGGGGGCTACAGAGTTCATTTTAAACTTGTTGTGTAAATAAAGGTCTAGTTAATAATTTCTATAACATCTGAAACCTAAAGAAAGACCTGCAATAGGCAGATTTAGCTCTTGCATAATGTATGTTTAGATTCATACCAAATACCGAGGAAGGTAAGAATTAGCACTTTAACTTCAAATCGTTTGATATAATATGTTTAAATATTCTTAATTTCTTTTTTTAAAAGTGTGTTAAAATATTTAATAAATATGTATATATTTTTTTTATTCAACCGAGCCTATTTGTATTTGCAGAATGGTTTTACTAGCATAATTTGAGATTCAAATAAATTATTTATTATGAATTAAACATACATTGTCTATTTAATAATTTAAGATGCCTTTACGTTGGTCTTATTTAATAGATATCTAAACCTTCAATAGAACGAAGAATGATTAATGAATGTCTCGTATTAGAACAAACTCCAAATAAGGTAATCAAATACAAACAAAAAATTCAAAGGTTATACACAATTTAGTTAATGATACGTTATGGGATATTAGATAAAGAGCTGGCAGTTCTCACTATAATAGTTAAAAACTAGATAATGTAAAGGGAATTTGCTAAAATTTTCAGGCAAATTGATCCACTCTGAACCGAGAATGTAGTGATTGAATTTTCGGCCTAGCCTCGATCATCATTGCTAAATCGATACGATAAAATACATAGTCTCGATTATCCATTTCATGATTAAATCATGAATGAAAGTTGAGCAGCAAATCGGATCCTAATCCAGTAAATATCGCAGGCTAGCGATGACATCGAGAGTTGATTATGGTCTGGATATGTTAATTAATGTCTAATTAATAATTTAGATAACATTTCAGGCCTAAAGAAAGACCCGGAAATAGGTAGATTTAGCTCTTGCATAATGTATGTTTAATCTTCGTGATAGCGTATCCGCAACATAAAAAGTGTAAGAACAATGCCCTCATCAATCAACAGTATGGTATGATAACATTATTTAGTATATATACATTATTTTCTGTGGTGTTCTTTTTACACCCATACTAAACGTTACTTTGATGGTATCGTTGCAAATGAAATGAAATGAAATTAGGTTTAACGTCTTACTTTTCTGCATCCACTGGGAGGTGTGCTATGACGGAAATTTTGCCAGGTCAGCGGCACTAAAGCTTACTTTTATTTCGAATTCCATCTGCCGAGGCTTTTTTATGTACACACCAATGTGTACATGAGACCTTGGTTTTTTGGCCCATCCGGACGACAATACATTTTCCTTGCCAGGCCCTCCGTCCTACATCACTGACAATGGCGAACCACCGGTGACCAGTGGTGTTGCAGCCCTGGTTGGTGTGTGTGACCATTAATGTATACTGTCTCCAAATGTAATACAACTGCAGTGTATTTTTTTATCGTTTGTAATATTTTTACTTTTGTTTTTTAAATCCGAGTACGACGAGGGTAGAGAAAGCTGATATACTAGAGATGACAGTTGAATATTTACATAATATTATATATAAACAAAGAGGTATACTATATCTTATATATATCTTATATCCATGTATTTTGCTGAGATTAACCATACCCGGGGTTAAATCTACCAACTGGAGTTTATTTATAGGAGAAGAATCTCTATATCTTTATACATTCAGTATTGGACTTGTTTCAACCATACCCAACCCCATGGAATGGGTTTTAACATCCTACGTGTCTGTCCCAACCGGGCTAATGAGGGACATTTACCCCAGACAGCAAATTTAATTCCAACTGTCAGGGGTTCTTTTTGTACACACCAATGTGTACGCGTACCTAAGTTTTTCGTCCCATCCGAACAACTAGACGCTGTACCTTGTCAGGCCCTATGCCCTGCACTACTTACAATGGGATAAAGTTCGAAAACCACGGGTTTATCTGCCAACACTGGGATCGAATTAGTCAGTCAGCACCCTATCTACTGGGCCACTTTGGTCTCCCTCTAATAACGAATTCTATCCCGGTTTGCGAAAACAGGCGATTTAAACAAACAATCCGGTAAATCCGGGGCTATTTTTCTTTAATGTCATCAAAATATGGAAACGATGACAAAGCAGTGCAAGTTAAAAATCATTATCCTTTGATTGACATGACGTGGCACTAATAACATATTTTAAATGGGATATTTTTCAGATAGTGGGGAGTGGCGCCGAATACAGAAATGGATATAACGCGTGCTTAATAGAGGTTTCTCAGTTTCTGGACCAAGAACAAGAATTGAATATTAAAATGAAACAAGATATAACAGGGAATTTGAGGTCAAAGATCAATGGAAACAACTATGTGATTACAATGAATGAACAGACCGTGGCTTGTGATGGATTGATTCTGGAAACCTTGAACATGTGTCGAATCTGTAGATTACAATGGACCATAGTTCATTTTTGACTGTGGAATCGGAAAAAGAATCGGAAATATTAGTTTGCGATGAAGAAATTTTTTAATGTGCTTAAAAATGAGATAATTAATCGAGAAAGTCTCATGCTGTACCTGATGGTATACGCAACATCCGAGTATCAAAGGGGAGTAACTGCTTTGATAGTTCTTTTATTATTTATTACATACAGTGTCCGGGTTTTATTGTCTGCCTTGTCCAAGGCTATATCTTCTAGGTTGCTTATGGTCTAAAATAAATAACGTATAAATTATATTTTTGTATGTGGCGGAGATTCGCTCCATCATGGGTTCATTTAATTAATTTAACATCGTGAATGGTGTCACTTAATCACCTGCCAATCAAAACTGGATTAAAATGCACTCTATTTCTTGAACAATACAATCTGTGTTAATTTGCCTTTGCTGTTTTACTTCGTGTGTGTTTGATACGTGTTTATTATACAGATTGTGTCTATTCTTTCTGAACAAATAAAAAAAATTCCAAATTTGCTATTGATACCGTAATGAGGTTTGTATTACTCCATCGGTTCTGTTCCACTGTGCAGCTTGACACCAAGGCAATGATTTCTTTAATACGGTGAATGTAGATATTGATTCAATATATTTAATGATGTGTCAGAAGCGCTGCCCCTCGTGGTCTATTAATAAAACCATTATCTAAATTTTATTGGGATTCATCAAAGATCGGGAATAGTGACCATTCATCATATCAGCTACTTTGGGGTTTGCTTAGTTGGGTGGGTGGGGTTCTGAGTATGTAGTAAACGTGTTTCATGCCTAGTAATATTATGGGAAATAAATAAATTTCTTAATCTCAGACTTGGATAATATTCACAATCTACTAGAAATTAAATGAAATGAAATGGGGTTTAACGTCATACGGTTCTGCCACTACTGGGCTAATGAAGACGGGCATACGCCATACAGTGTGCTATGTGGGAAATTTTGCCCGGACAGCAGCGCTATGGGATGTTCTTATTTCCAATTTCAACTGTATCGACGCCTACATTCTCCGGGTTATGGTCAAATTTGATTGAACCAAGTTTTCCAAGGTGTTTTAACTATCAATAAAAGAGTCGTACAGGTCAATAGAATTACAATGATTTTAACAACTGCTCGTAATGACTGGACTGATCAAGTAGCACTTCTGCCAAAAGTTTGGTCTAGTACACTATCACACAAGATCATTATAAATATTAACAGTTAATACGATAATATCCATGGACCAAAAATCGTATGATGGAACTCCGCTACCAATATACCATTTCTTAAATGATATGGAGTCTTTTACCGTTTGGGTTTACTTCAAATATCCCCCACTCTTTACTAGTTACCCTATAGTAATCGCGAACACCCTATCGTTTGAAGATGCTCGAGAAAAAAAGATTTCAGTATCACAATATTTCTTAGACGTAAGCCTCTTCCTATCTAGCAATATATGAGACTTACTTAAATTTTAACAGAAGAAAAGGTGGTCGGGTAAATCAGGTTTTTACTGTAATGTGATTATTTGATTTGGTTCACGTAAATCCAATTACAATTCGTATTAAATACTCGTGAATTGAAGTGTGTAATTCAAATACTAGTATGTTCAAAATTGTATTACTTCCTGGACTACCTGCTATAGATTATTTATAGTTACTTATAGATTCTGACTGTTGTTACATTCAGTCCCTTCATTTAAAGGAGCTAAACCTCTAACTCAATATCATCAATAATGTTCTAAATTAAAAACATGAAAAAAGAATTCAACATTGCTCCAATTTAATACATATTGGTGTTGTTATCTTGCCGTGAATATATGGGATCCTAGTATCCAATATTCAAGACACAGTGAACACTTTAACATGGCTATAATGGTTTCGATCGCTTTTTGCAATGAAAACATTACCCAGAAAACACAGCGGATGTAATTTATTTGAAATGTCTGACTGACAAACGAAAAAATAATAATTTTAAAATAAAGTTGAATGGACGAATCTGAAGCAAACGACTGTCCGTCTTCATTATCCCAGTCAGGACAGAACAATAGGACGTTAACGCACATTTCATTTGCAAGTGACCGCTCTTCAATTTGGACTGTTCGCGTTTTCACACTGAACATAAATGATTTGAAAGTACAACAAAATATTTTAAAATTTAATTTAAATCACTTTATATAAACTCATATTACATTAATAATACCTATCTATCTTCACAACAACTCACAGTAAATGGTCGATAAAATTAAACATACGTTTATTTATTGTCTTGGGCCTTCCAAAAAAGGTGTTTTTAAACATTAAAGACATTTAACGACAGCAACTCACAAGATACTGTACATATATTAGCAAGGGGGTCCCGTGCTCGTAAGGCCCTCGGACAACTGCCCAGGATGTCCATGCGTTGAGTTGTTTTGCGTAGATGAAAAGGACGCTTTTTATTAATTTGAAACTTCCGGTCAAATCCCCGATATCAGCGACAATTCAGACTCTACCTGACTTTAAATTAAGTTCTACAGAAACAAGTGAAGGTTTATCTTCACTAAATAAATTTGCATTGAATCAGTGGAGGTCGGGTGTTCGATCCCTGCATTGGCCGAGAAAGTTCATCCAGATTTTCCGGCGTGGTTCCCCCTTGTCAGTGATGCAGGACGGAGGGCCCGAAAAACCGAGTTCCCGTGTATACATTGGAATGCACGTAAAAGATCCCTTGGCAGTTGGAATTCGATATAAGAGTAGGCGATAGTGCCGCTGCCCGGGCAAAATTTCCTTCATAGCACACTGTATGGCGTATGCCCGTCTTCATTAGCCCAGCATAGGAGCAGAACAGTAGATCGTTAAACTACAATTCATTTCATTTGCATTGAATCAGCTTGGAGTGAATAATCTAATCTATTCACCTCAGCGTTGAGTTGTGTTTAAAAGAAATAGACTATAGGTCCACAGGTAATCCCCTTAATGATCTACGCTTGACTGATTTTGTTATTTTATGCGAAGCCAAACGTATTGTGACGTTGTGTTTGGACCATTATTTTATATCATATACAACATGGACGATGGTCAGTACATATAATCATTGTGCTGCGTGGTAAGATTGAATCTTTGGACGTTAGTTGATTCAAACAATCAAAACAAATGATGTTTTATCTTACTATGGCATATGTGCCTGCCTACATGTATGTATAGCAATACGTATATAAATATAATATGTAATTATCTACGAAATGGATAGTAACATCGCAATAGAATGTTCAATAGCTCGTCAATCTACACTAATTACAAGTTACACATGAATTAGCTCTCTTGTACACAGCGTAGCCTCCTTGCTTTTTAATTAGCTGTGTTGTAGATTGCTATCCATTATGGGCGTCGATAGGTGTTAATAACCTCGCTGGCCATTAATTAAATGATCTAGCGCCAGCCCCAGCGATTAATTATATAGATTACAACGAGTCAGGGTTTAGATGCCTGGTCGAGAACACAAAGGCAACCCGTTGATTGTTGTTTTAAAACACTAACCAAGCGAATTTTCAATACTGAGATGAGTACGCCACTGACGTTAATTAACGCTCAGACCATCTTTCAGATAACTATACGTTAATCCCGTATTATTGTATTAGTTCGGCTTACCTTGCGTCCCAATCAAAATACCAGGGAAGCTTTGTTCATTTAAGATATAGGTGTTTACCTTTATGATATACCATGTTGGCTTAGATGTTACGACCTCTAATTAGTAATGGTTAGTGGATATTTGGACAAAGAAATCAGAGTTCAATGTGGAAACAGAATATTGTAAGGACTATGTCTAATTCAAATACAGGTAAGACCAAATGTTTGTGTTTTAATATTCAAGACTACCTTACATTGTATCCTCGTAGCCTCCACTTAATATGGTTTATACAGTTTTATCACCACGAGACGCCATGTATGAGGATGATAATAATATTGCCATCGGTGAAATACAACTTAATCCAAATTTTCAAACTAAAGGGTATAGGCTATTCATAAGGAGAGAGAGATAAATGGGATGGGGTTTACTGTCCACTCAGCACAATCTAGGTCATTTCGGGACTAACATAAATAAGATTTTATTTCAATAATTCAATTTCTTGTAGAGGTCAATAGCAGTGTAGTGGGAGAACCCAGAGAAAACTCACGAGTTAAGGCTTAACAGGCGATCCTACTCCTTGTAACATACATGTTTAGTGTGGAATAGAAACCACGCCACTAAATTCAATGATAGAGCTTGGAATCTAAAGCGCACGCGTTAAACCATTCGCCCCCCCCCCACCACATAAGGAAGTGGTATAAGGTGTTTCGAAATACCCATATTCCAAGCTATAAAATTAGTGCACTCTAATATACGCCTTATCTTATGTTATCCCAACAACTAGATGTTGTTTTGTTTTTGTAACCATTAAATGGCTTTTGTATTTAACTATTAGTAATTTATTTTACACTAACACGATTCACAGAATTTAATACACACACATATCATTTTAACGGTAAGATGGGGATGTACAGTGATAGAATTGGGATACTCCTGGCATTGTTTTGTTCCTCAAATCTACAACCTTATTAGAATGGAAAGAAGACAAGCATTCTTTGAATGGTATTTAGTAATTGGGACGCAATCAATTAAAACAGTTATTATGGATAAACACTGCTCTGGTTTACTACATTGTGGCGTTCATTTTGTGTTGATATATGCTTGATAACGACTTGTTGAAATCTTGTTGAAACTTCGCAATGTAATAAACTTTAAATCACTTTATATAAACTCATATTACATTAATATGTGCTTTCAGACTCATTTTCGTCTATTTTAATGTTCCAAAAAATAGATGAGATATATACCCTTTAAGCAGGGCCATCTTATCTATCTTCACAACAACTCACGGTAAATGGTCGATAAAATTAAACAAACCGGTACATTTATTTATTGTATTGTATTGGGCCTTCCAAAACGTCGCAATGTAATAAACCATAGTAATTGTTATCCATAAATAGTGTTTTATTTGAGAAGATAACCATGCATACATATTTATTTGTCTATTTTTGTTCCGTTTTTAAGTTCTCTCTTTATCCTATAATGCTAAGGATGGTACATTTTCCGCAAAGGTGGGATTAACAATCCAGGTCTTGTCAAACTGCTACCGTTGATTAATTATGTATACCTGACAGAAGGCAGACCGCCATTGTTAATGCAAGTCGTTGCTAAGCAAAATAAGTGTCTTTCCGCTGGCTTGAAACTAAATATATATACATTTCATGATGCATACAACGGTGTATTTGGACCTTTATTTTGACCTTAGGGTTATGTGTGGTTATTATTTGTTGTTAGTGAAAATATAATCATACAATAAAGCGATAATGAGGCTAATTTGGACGTCGTTTGGTTTCGTTCTTATATAACGCATGTTATAAATGAGGCAGTAATAAGTAATTAATGATATAATCTTAATTAACGTAATTTATTTAACAGCACATGTGTCAGAAAATCCGACGATATTAATAAATGGTTTAAAATTCCCCGCCAAATTTTTTTCTGTTTTAAAATACATAATTTTGATTATCTTTAAATTCTATGCAATACAAATGGAAATATTTTAGTTTTAAAGAAAAGTTACTCTTTTGCTGCTGGTAAAACAATTAAAGGATCTAATTCTTTATTCTTGTATTTTGTTTTTTCAGAATCCAATGGCCATTATGGCAACAAACTGAAAAGAAACAGAACATATTTTAGTCCGTTTCAAACCAAAGCAATGGAAGAAGTGTTTCGTAACAGTCATTTTCCTGACAAACAACAGATAGAAAGCTTATCCAGACATATAGATGTAACAGATAGATCTTTACAGGTAACCGTCATATTGGATTGTCCTGGCTTCAATGTTACATCCACGAAAGATTACTATATTATATTTTACTTTTCGGAGGTGATAAGTAAATATTTTAGGAATAAAACCCAATAAATCATTTACTGGTTCATTTACCGTAGTGGTGTACAGGGCTAGGTTTTGTGGTAAAGTATTGGCATTTTAAAACCCAAGGATGTTCTCGGATTGCACTGGTAATCCTTTCGTGGGAAATGTTACAACAGATGATTCGAGAGCTTTAGAATAACATAATGTTAAAAATATCACAGATTTTTCTATTGTTCCGTAATATACTAATTCAAGTATGGACGATAATATTTATTTGCTTTACCCATTTGTTTCAGGTTTGGTTTCAGAATCGCAGAGCAAGACTAAGGAAAGCTTCACCTCGATCACTGACGGAAGTAATGGTAGAGAGTTTTGATAACTCTGCCACAGGAAAGAAAACGTCCACACCGAAAAGTCGTTTAGAATCAAAATCACATCCATACTTTCCGATACCAAAAAATACACCAAACACTTCGGCGAAACAGGAACATAAAGTAAAAGAGGAGTCTGAACAAGGAATTCGCTATCAGTTGCATAGAACACAAGATACAGAAACCGTGTCGAATAAAGAATCAACCACCCCCGCACGTATTGAGAACTGCCACGTTAAGTGGGGTCCTCCAGAATGTGGGCAATCCGATCCTGGATCGACTCCACCGACATCTGCATTACGTTTAGTAGAAGAGATCAAGAGCCCAGAGAAACTGAACGATGACTATACATTTATGCAAATGAACTATCAAACGAGTTGTGGCAATGTTTTGGATTTAAGTTCTTCGAGCAACTTGTGCAAAACTCCTAGTCCAAAAAAAAATAAAACGGCTTTCCACAGTCCAGTATTACAACAATCTCCTGATGAACATTCTTCTGTTTTAAACCTTTGCGTGCGTGATAACAGCGAAACAGAAGCACGGATCAATTCTCCATCCAAATCCAAATCCCCGAAACTTACACCAGCAGCTCTTTTCCCTAATATTGTTCACCCCTACCATATGTACGGTTATCCTCCGGGCGTTCAATGTTTTCCACCAATCCCGATGCAACCTTATCACCCAGCAATGTTCCCGTTTCCCGCCACACTCAACCAATCTGAACTAAATAGAGTGACGTATTTTCCCATTCCCTATCCGCAAGAAATAACAATAAAGAAAGAAAAAGTTAAGAAGTAACACCTCAAGAAAATTCCTGTTCTACTATTTTGGAAATCTAGTGTGTTGTGTAGATTTTCTAAATGAGTTAATATATGCACACAACTCGTGTGCCTGTTTGTTTTTAAAATAAAATATTTAAAGAAATTTTTATTCAAAGCGATCTCTTAAATTGTCAAAAACAAAAGAACTGAAATGAAATGAAATGGGGTTTAACGTCCTACTGTTCTGCCCCGAACTGGGCTAATGAAGACGGGCATACGCCACACAGTGTGCTGAGGGAAATTTTGCCCGGACAGCGGCACTACGGCCTACTCTTATATCGAATTCCAACTGACAAGGGATCTTTTACGTGCACGCCAATGTATACACGGGACCTCGGTTTTTCGTCCCACCCGAACGACTAGACAGCTTTCCTTGTCAGCCCCTCCGTCCTGCATCACTGACAAGGGAAAAAACAAAAGAGCAAACAATGTAAAGGCTTTGGTGGTGGTGGTCTTGGTTATACGTACCACTCCACCAGCATCTATATTTCTTTTACAAGCATAGTGACCACAAATTTGTTTCCCACCGAATTCGTGTCAGTTAAAGAGGTAGATGTACCGAGATTTCATAAATTTTACACCGAAATAATATCATAATTGTTTAGTGGTTACCCACCGCAATGGAAATTGTGAAATTAAATTCAACATTTTCGAATTTCAACGTCTAGGTCTTCATTTCTAAGATGCTCACGAGGCTTCAGCAGGTTCAACTGATACACAGAAGCTTATAATTCTAAACATATCTTAAAACACGAAATGATTAGTAATTAACACTTTAGATGGCTCTTGGATTTCACTTTCATGTTATTAATTAACTAATTAAATTATAATATAAACCAGCAGCTGAGAGTTATTGATTTCGTGTGTGTCAATAATTTATACTGTGGACTGGGATATTTGTAACATATCTACTGGTGTCTATAGTGCGTTTAGATGGAATGGGGTTTAATTTCCTACTCCGACTAGGTATATTCAGTGTGCAACGAGATATGTTGTGCTCTTTTAAGTGCACGTCAATGGGATTACGGGACCACGGTTTTTAGTCCTATCCGAACGACTGGACACTGGAAAATCCCTGGGAACTACCTCGATCAACAGCGGGAGCTAACCCGGAACTTCCAGGTTAACGAGCCAGCGCCTTATCCACTGAGCCACCGTGACACTCTTATTGTGCGCTTGGCACCACTCATTATTTACAAATACTTTTTAATCACCGTAGGCCCAAACGAACTATTCCAAATTTTTTTTAAAAATCCCATCGATAGCTTTGCTCCGTTTCGCGCCCACACGCCTTAAAGAGACAAACTCTTGCCAGAAAGATAAATCGGCAAAACTGGTTCGAAACTTATGATTCTGATATTCGATAGGATTTCTCCCTATACCCTTTCAATATTTCGCCCAGACTCTTTATCATAACCCGATAACAATCCCTAAGAATTTGGTAAAATCCGCCAAGAACTCTAAACAATAAACGCCCATGTTAAATGTTAAAAGTAATACATAGATGTTCCTAAAAACTGTAGATTCAGGCGTGGTTTTGGGGGCATGAGACGGGGTTCACAAAAAAAAATCAATAACAATCATATGGCATAAATTTTATGGAAACTTATTATTAAGTATTTTGTTGACATTTACTGTGGGGTGGGATTGTGGATTCACCCCCCCCCCCCATTCACAGCTTTTAGACCCGCTAGATTCCAACAGTTTAACACACACCGATGTAATGAGATACATGTACTTAGGTGAATAAACACAGTATATGCCTAAGGTGTATTGAACGGACGGGGCGGGGAGGGCTGCAGTCTCCCCAATCGTATCCACTGCGACATCTTCCGGCAATATTGCCGTTTTTTAACTGAAGAATGCAATTTTCGGCTAGACTGCGCTACTGGGAGAATATCTATCAATAAATTGTTAGATATTTGATTATTTGGAATCCATGGTGTGGGTAAATGATTGAAGGCAGAATACAAATTTCCTGGACATTACTGTCAGGTCCTTGTGAATATCCGACATAAAAAAAAGATTATGAACACAGTTGACACATAAGACTACCATACTAATCCATTTCATTTAATAATTTATTACAAGTGTATTCACCAATTAATTTTCTTTATTTCAATATTTAGTTATATTAAAAATTATTTATGGTTTTAAAATGACAATGATAAGGGAAGGGAAGGGGGAGGGTGTAAAATAACAATAACAACAGACATAGGGGTAAAATGAATACTGACAGATTGACAATGGTTATAAAACAAATGAAAATAACCCTGCACAAAATTATATATAGAATGGCTAACAACACAAGTGATTATCGTCTGGGCTTTTGATTTGGTCTACCAGTTACCTACCCTTGGTAATGTTAGGCTACAACTGTGCATAACAGTTTAATAGCAATTCACTACTGTACTTCCCGTGTGAAGCCAATCATATGTTGAGTTTGTCCAAAACTTCAATAATAATCCAAGAGTAGTTAAAGGTAGTGCTAACATGGGTGATAATATACAGCTTAATTACTAAAGGCCATTGAAACAATTTACTAGCCAGTGTTTTTTTTTCTTATGGTGTCCTTTGTAATGTAATGATTACAAACATGGAATATGCAAACTACTGCACAGCCAAAATAAATTCACACGAGGTAGTTTTACTAAAATACCAGAATATCAAAACAAATATACAGTCTACAAATTACAATTTTAAATGAACTCGATGTTGATTAAATCAAAATGGTGATATGTGTTCCAACTCATTAATTTTAAATTATCCAATTATTATAACGGACATGATTAATGGTTTCCAGTAGCCTACACGAGGGCTAGAAAGTAAATAAACTATAATCAAAAACACATCTTCTAGAATAAAGAGAATAATATTGACTTGGATCAGACACAATGAAAAACAGTTTCACAAAATAAATACTGGTTCAAAATTTATTAAAATGATAAACACCGAACTAAGTTATAGTCATCTCAAGTTCATGTTACTTTCTATACATTTCAAACAAATATCAATAAGCTAACTGCTTTTTGGCCTTCTGCCACGAGTACATTTAGGAAGTTTTAAAACTTACAGTATTTTAGTAAACTTTACAATGAATCTTTAAAACTAACAAATAAATGAGAACCTTATAATTCATTTCTTCAAGCTCTTCTGAAAATTTGAAATACCTGATACAGTGTATATTCATAAATAAAGCAGAGAAGTCATAAAAATAACTGATACATCAGACTAAAATAAATATGTAAGTTACGGCAAACAAAAGATATAGATGCTATATTCTGATTGGTAATTAATAAACAATATGAACAGCAGTTATATATCGTTATTGCATGTAGGAAGACAAATTATTATTATTATTGTGGAGACAGTATTTGCCTTCTTAAATATGTAATTCGGGTAGAACAACAAAAATATTTCAAGCATTAATATTGACTTCAGTAAAACGTATTTATTTTCTATTCTAAGCTAACTACAGCTCAGTATATGTTTATTTTCTATTCAAATTTAAGTGGATATTTTCCAATGATGAAAATATAATACACTTTTATGACTATGGGCTAAATGGAGTGAAAAATCAGACAACAGAAAAGCCAAAGAAAAATCATAAAATAAAAATATCAAATAAATAAATGAATGACTAGATTAACAACAGGTCATCACATTATCATTATAAATAAAATATTTCAACTGAATGTTCTCCGAACTAAACTTCTTCATCATCTTATCAATCCATTCCTCACCATCTGCAACTAATGCATCTACTTATAATACTTCTGTTACCTATTTTCAAATCCTTTAACAAACAACCGAAGGGAGGGGGTAATATGGTATACACAACCATTAAATAATATTTATATCTAAAGATACTGTTATAGGAGTATTTACGTTTAATATATAATAAAAATTTATCTTGTCAAAGTACCTAAACTAAAAAGCCAAGTTCAGACCAGAGATAGTGGGCTTCGCAAAGACAAATGTTTTCCTCTCATGGAAACCAAACAAACAACATCAAATGAACGACACATTTAAAAAGCAGAAATATTGTCAATTTTTTTGCAGAATATTTCAGAAACAAATAATTTCAAAATTCACAAATATGGTATCTCAAGACTTTAGAAATGGCAAGATTTTGCCCTTTTCCGGTCCATAACATCAATTTACAATTTTAGCAGGTATTTGAATGTATTATTAAAATGATAAAATAAATTGATCTTGAAGTGAGTGACTGACAAAAAAATATAAATGCACTTGTACAACGAATATGATTCCACACATATAAAAAATTAGAGGCACATTTCTTTAACACATTTAAATTTTTTAAAGTACTAATAATTCTAATCTTTGGTAAATTTAAAGAAAACATTATAAACCTGATGTAAGGCATTGTATATACAAATGAGAAACAAGATTCATTGTACAGAAAATAGATACACACATTTACTAGTATAATACATAAATGTAAATAATTAAGCACATCTCTGGATATGAAATGTATATCATGGCAAAATATATTATACATACCGGTATATATTGACGTGAGTTGAAATACTTGGAAGGAAATACAGTATTAGATTATGCTGTCCTATATACATAATTAACAGGCTAACAGAAAGATGAAGGACACAATATAGAAAATACCACATCCCAAAATGGAAATGGTATCTAATATTCCATAAATTACTGGCATACTTTAAAAATAATAAAACATAACTCACAGTATACATGTTCCTATCTTGACTATTTACTATTAATACTATTATAGTCTGTACTCAATATATAACAACAAAAATATGTCATATCAGTGGCAGCGATTTATTTACATTCGTGATGAAGCACTAAATTTATATAATCAATTAAAATATATAAATAAAAAAGAAAATACACAAAAAGTCTCTTTTCAGAATAACCTTTCTTACCCTTTTCTTTAAAAACCTGACCTAAAATTTTAAAGATAGGCTGCAAGACAACTTAATATATGCCCACAGCAGCTACCAGTAAGTCGTTCAAGCAGTGCACAATGGCTGTCGCACATTATTTATTTTGTACATAATGGGGAGATTCACAAGACACAAAAAAAAAAGATTTTTCAAACTGATCAAGGGCCAGAATTGTCAGAAATTGTTAAAAGTCAATACTCTTTCAATTGTTTACAATTCAAGTCAATCAGAAGATGACTTTAGTCTCAAAAACGTCCACAAATCATTGTAAACAACCAAGATTTTGTAATGACAATATTCGACCACAATTAAATGCAGGCATATAAAACCTAAAATCAACATACATATGTACATATAAAAATGTCATCAAAAGTTTGAATAAAATAAATAACAATAATCTTATATAAGTAGTCTGTCATTTCTGCCATCTGCTAGGAGGAGACCCACTACCATTTGTCCTTCAATATTTAAAATCACAGCTAATTGTTTAAATCACATTATTGACTTTTACCCCAGAGATGTATAACCTCCACTGGCACTGTTTAAAATTACGACTTTATGATCAAAAACACACAATCACGTTTTGAGCACAGATTGTAAGTCTTCAGGTAATGCCGAAACAATACCATCCATATGATTCTGTAATTTTAACAAACTTTCTTTTCCCACAACTATCTGATGTGCAGCAGCAAATGCCTAAAACAAAAAATGAACCCACAATGTAAATAAAATTTAAGTTTTGGTAAATTAGAGACTTAGTTTAGTTCATGTCTGATATTAGAGACTTAGTTTAGTTTGTTTCTGACATTAGAGATTTAGTTTAGTTTGTGTCTGACATTAGAGACTTAGTTTAAATTATTTCTGACATCAGACATTTAGTTTAGTGTGTTCCTGACATTAGAGACCTACACTGTACTTTGTCACATGTTTTGTTTTTGTCTCTCCTATCAAATGTCAGTAAATGTAATGTTTTTAGAGATGGGTTGCTCTCTATACTGATACGATATGCTCAAACAAAACTTAGTAACTGTAGTCAGCCAGCCACTTGTTTAATATATCAAAATGGAAATTCAACTGTTTATAGGTGTCCTATTACTAATGGATATAAGACATCAGCTCAACACAGAACTCTAACCCTTTAAACCTTTTTTTCTAAAAATCAATATGAGCATTTATTTTTATATTACTATGTAAATATGTACTTACAAGTTTTTCTCTAATTCTTAAAATCAGATCAACTATTTCTACTTCTTCTTTACCAACTATCCAATCCTGTAAATTCTTTAAATACAAAATAATATACAATAACATACAAAGTTTATTTGATCAAAATGTTACCTTCAATTCCCCAGGTAAATAATACAAAAGTTTTAAGAACTCTTTTAGCCAGTGAATCATGCTATAGTTAATTTATCAGTTTTTGGTAGTGAAAAATAAGTTATGAATAGTATCCCTATCACTATTAAATCTTTATGTCAATCCACTTTGGATAATATTGTTGGTCTACATCAGATCTAACTACTTCTTTAATAAACTATACACATCATTTGCTTGAAAACGTTGAGAACCCTCAACGAAACGTCGCTTTAAATAAAATAGTAATTGTGTTCCATATTATGTTTTTGTATTACGTATGTCAATTGCTAAATGCCGCTCAAAGAAGATACACATACTTATGGAAAAACAGCTACTTATTTATTTGATCTTATTGTTGTCTTGTGTGGTTTCAGGAATTGTTGTTATAGTTTTCTGTATAAATTGACCTCACATTCTTGTATTACTGTATTAGCTTGATAACGTTGAGAGAATACTCTTCAAAACATCACTCAAATAAATAAGTAGCTGTTTTTCCATAAGTATGTGTATAGTTTATTGCTCTATCCAGATACTAAATGCCTCTTAAAGATTACTTCTTTAATGGTCATTTGTTCTCAATGAAGTTTGTTATCAGCCCCTTTGTTTGGCTAGAATCAATCAATGCAAATGGAAATGCATCTTTTTCATTGGCCAAAAGAGTGGGTATAGTCAGGTCAGTTAAATAAACATTTATCAAATATGTTGTTAGACCACACTGTAATGTAAATATAAATGACAAAAAGAAACCAACTAAGGTTTAGTTTTAATTACATGATAAAACAGGCAGAAAATATAATATCAGCAAACATTACTTACAGCACCACATAAAGCCTCCATGTGTAGAGCCTGTAGTTTTTGATTAGCTTCTCGTTGTTTTTCATGATACCATCCTTCAAAGTTTGGACTTCGGAAAAAACGTCTGAAAAAATATTTAGATGATCGTTGATTTTTGTGAACATATTTAAAAAGTGAAACATAAATGTTGTTTAGCTACCCTTGGACGTCTAACAAAATGTTGTTGTAATTTAATAGAACATTGTCTACATGTAACTACAGTAATATTCAAGTTCTAATATAGTCTACATGTAATTACACTAATATCTGAGTTCTATATTCTAACAGAATGTTGTCTACATGTAACAACAGTAATATTTGAGTTCTATATTCTAATAGAATGTTGTCTACATGTAACTAAACTAATATTTGAGTTCTATATTCTAACAGAATGTTGTCTACGTGTAACTACAGTAATATTTCAGTTCTATATTTGAATAGAATGTAGTCTACATGTAATCACCAAGCTTTAAAATTGAGCTCTTATAAAATGTTTTAATACTGTAAAACTATATAGACCTACCTATAAAGACCTTCCCAATCACCCTTAGCTACTGGGGTTAGTTGTGGACCTGAATGTTCAATTGTTTTTAAAAACTCATCAGGATCAAAAGGTCTCAATCGTGGCGGTCCCTAAAAAAGAATTAGGAGCATAAAATATTTGATTCACAAAGAGAGAGGGTGTTGATGAAGACATAATATAGCAGATTGGCCATTTTAGTTTCTGACTTTTCCTTGATATGACATAGAAATAGTCACCATGATTGGACAACTTTCTCAGTGACAAATTGTTTCAATGGCATTAAGTAGTTGAACTGGAATAAACAGGTCACAATTCTATGGAATAAAATTACTGCTTATTACTGAGCAGTAATAAGCAGTAATGGTATTCCATAGAATTTTGACCTGTTTATTTCTCAGTGACAGACTAGTTAAATTTCTATGTAATAATATTGTTTGCACAATTTAAAACCATGTGACCTGTTATCTGCCTGATATAGAAATCAAATTCTTTAGAGGCATTTAGTAACTGTATAGAGCACTAAACTATAGTAATTGTTTTACTATAAGTCTTAATTAATGTTCTATCTAAACTTGCAGTAAAGCAGTTAATGGATTAGTATGTATTTTCTACAGTCAATATATATGTAATGAATATGTACATAATTACCTATTCCCTTACCTCTGTTTTTTTCAATCAAGTGTTCTAGAGATCGGTATCCAGACCACTCGGACCAAAAAAAAGACCAGTCGGACCAACACAGAGACCACTCGGACCAACCCAAAGGACTACTCGGACCAAACCAAAAGACCACTCGGACCAATTAATTCATATTGTAAGACCATTTTAAAACAAACACAATTATCAAATTATTAAAACAACACTTTATATTATTGGTCCGAGTATTCTTTTTGTTTTGTCCGAGTAGTCTTTTTGTATGGTCTGAGTAGTCTTTTTGTTTGGTCCAAGTGGTCTATCAGTTGGTCCGACTGGTCTTGGTCCCAGTGGTCATGGATTCCTAGAGATCAAATATGCATTTCTAATCAACCCATATAGCATTTGATTGACAGTCTAATCAAACTACTACACGGACGCGGGCCACAGGCGCAGAACACAATTTTTCTCAAAATGCCTTTATATTTAATGGAGTCACCATCAGAATAAACAGAATGAAATCAACATTTATTATTAAGTAGACTGTTTGGCACATGCAATTCAAAAAACAGACTTTCATTATCTTACATGCAGGGATTCTTGAGATGCCTCAACATAAACTCTGTCAGATAAACACAGCATGGCTGTATAATAAAATTTATTTTGATTTAGTTACCTTGTGAGGCGATATGTTTCTCTGTAAAGGCATCAAACTGGCAATATATCTTTCCTAAAATACAAAATAAATTTGTTTAGACATGCACAGATGAGGACTTCTATTGTGGGAATTACCCAATGCATAAATAAGGTAAATCATCCAATTGAGGCAAATAATTGTATCATAGATTCAGCATGGCAAGTAAAATGATGATAAAATATTGTTCCTACCAAACATTGGGAATTACATGATAAGATCTCTTTGAGATTTCAGAAGCTGACATTAATTAGCTTTCCAGCGATATATTATATTGAACAGGGTTGTAATTTTGTACAATCTTAAATATAACAAAGTTAAGGACAATGAACATGTACTTACCAAAGGAATCATGAAACTTTGTGTTAATTCTAGAAAATGGCGTCTTAAAATGGCGTTCTGAGCTTCAACTGGTCTTTTTATTTGAACTCCCTGCAAAATGTAATCGTACATGTCAGAAGAATAAATTCTTTAGTTCTTATTTGTTATCTATCATACTAGAATGCAAACATGTAAGAAGAATAAAAGGACTAATTCAATAGCACTTTTCTGTTATCTATCATACTCAGAAAATGTTTACACATGTCTTTCTTCTAAACAAATTAAACAAGGATTATAAACTCCATATTGATATTCTTTAAACATGCATTTTAGATGCAAGTAAAGTAAAATTAAGTCACTTGTAATATGTCATCCATTTTTAATCTAATCTTAAAACATTTTTAATGTGCATCATGTCACCTTGACTGTTATGAATTGTATTAAGTTTTATTAAAACTTCTCTATCATTCTCTTCAGTATCCTGTATGGGAGCCTTTACTTTTAGGAAGGCTGCAAAATATCTGCCCGAATATATCGATGGAAATGGTACTTTTGTTTGCAAAATCTCTCATTATTATCTGAAAATATGTTCGTTATGCCCAAAAATGACTTTCTTTTGCACCAAAAATTGTATCAACGGACACATTTGTTGGGGTCGCAGCTTAGTGCCTAATACAGCTATGCTTGTACTGCAAGTTCTTTTGACAGGTGTTGCTCCATCCTGTTCAATCCGGTAGTAGACTAATTAAAAAAGACACATTTTCTAACATTTCTTAATCTGACAATTTCAAAATAAATGTAACTATATATAAAAATGCATAAATGACAACTGACCTTTAATAACCTTTTGAGTATTGTTTTATCTTTGGCTAAATAAGACTTGTATCTCGTATATACACCTAGAAATAAATATTCAAACCTATTTCATCTGAATAAAACAAACAGTCTTTATCAATTCAACTATAGTTCAGCTAATTGTTTTAATTCGAAACATACTTTTGTTAGTTTTTTTGGGCATGTCTGATTAATTTATACAAGATATTTTCTGAACATACATATACACTTGTTCAGATCTTTTAATTTTCTGTGTAATATCTAAAATTGAATTGATTGAGAATTTTATATATATATATATATAAATAGAAGTTAGTGTACAGGTTTGGTAAAACAATCAATTTGATTAATATTTCTATCCGACGTCTGAAAACATTCATGATGAATTGAAATGAAATGAAAGGGAGTTTAACGTCCTACTGTTTTGTTCCAACTGGGCTAATGATGACGGGCATACGCCATACAGTGTGTTAAGAGGGAAATTTTGGCTGGACAGCGGCACTATGGCCTACTCTTATATCGAATTCCAACTGTCAAGGGATCTTTTACATGCACGCCTTCTATCCTGTAGCACTGAAAAGGGGGAACCACGCCGGAAAATTTGGATGAACTGTCTTGGCCAATGCAGGGATCGAACACCCGACCTCCAGGCTAGCAAGCCAGCGTCTTACCCACTTAGCCACCGTGACCCCCCCATCGTAAATTGTTCATTTAAGATTGTATAAATACAGTTAAATCCTCAATGTGCCATCAGAATCACAATAATCAGGACTGAAAAATGATCTTTAGCAATAATAATCTACAATGTACGTTATGTGCCATTTCGGCCTTCTTGTTCATAGACAGAAATAAATCATCATTCAGGCATCATCTAATAATCTAAGAGAAAAGAAGAAAAGAAGATGGCAGCATGAAATCGATAGAATGTAATGGGAAATATAGAGAGCCATAACCCTTGTTAGGATTGATTGATTTGAATAATTTTTGGACCACATTTTATTGTGCATGGTCTAAAAGTCTATACTTGCCTTTTAGTCTGGAATATTGTGTGTTGTTAATGATAATGCTAAGGGTGGTAGGTGGTTAATCATATTTCTCATAAACAATGACTATAAGTGCCTGACAACAAAAACATCTCATTTGCTCATTGCAACTTTTACAGTCTGTATATTTAGATAAAGAAGCAGCCCCAAGTGATAAATGTAGGTTTCAATCCACAAATCAAAAGCCAGAATGGGAAGAAATAGTTCAAATAGCCTATCAGAATGTTTCAGCTCAAAATATTGATGTCCTCAATTCCAAAATAAATAGATGACATTCATTAATCACTTGCTCATTTACCTTTGTAAAGCATCTAGCAATCAAATGGCTTACCACTTTGCTTAGCCTAAGCAAAAAATGCTCAACAAAGTAAGTCGAAGCATTCATCTAATCAACAACTACACCAAGTGCCAACATTTTACTTCAAATAAAAGCAGAATTGTGTTCCAAAACATTTGACTGATAGATGAATTCAATTGATACATTTCACTATATACTATACTGCTTTTAGTGCAAATATCAGAGATTTTCTGAAGGTTTGATAAAATGATCCAAATACGCAGAGTTACTTTTTATTTTACGATATAGCAGGCACCCATAGTCAATGTGTTCTACAAGTAACTAACCTGGTTTAGAGTCTAACGTCTTTAAGCTGGATGCTTTCTTTAATTTATTCAAAGGTTTTGGTGAGCTCGCTAAAATATAGTATGGGTAAAATGGAAACGTGTACCTTTAAGCAGCCATGGTTAATTGGCGACAGCAGCAAACATTGGTAAAGATGTATGATCTCAAATTACAAATCATCAGTTTAATATTAATTTGGTTACATTACAGACTGAATTTAAAGAGGAAATATCACTCTGAAGACTTCAGATTTATAGCCATTCAATAACAAGATAAATGATTTCAACTGGGGATAATTAATTTTTTTTAATATATATTATTGAATATTCTGTCAGTTTTTCACAATAATCAAGTAGTATGTGGTAGTATTTGGTAGAATTTGGTTAGTATTGGGTAAATCATCTTTCCGCTAATAAGGCAAGTAAGTATAAGATTATTTCTGTTAATTACATGTACCATACATTTTTTGTGAGAGTGATAATGCCTATTTATTATCAGTTATGTGCGTTATATCAAATGTAATGTGTAATGTAATGCAAAATAAATAGAATCAGCTGTGCAGTAATGTACCACCCAGAAGGTTAGTAGTAAATTCTATAGCAAACTATAATTATACTAACCTCCACCATTCATTTCACCAATTCTAATGATATGAGGCCAATGTTGTAAAGTTTTGGCAAAAAAGGGATTTGTGACACCCAGTATTATTGGAGGACTGAAAAAAAAAGGAATAATATGGTTGTATATGTGATTGATTCTTAATACTATGGCAGGGGTTCATCAGGATTTCAATGTATTCACTTCTAAAATCCAAACAGCTATTAATTAGCTCAAGACAAATGATCAACTTTTTATTAAAATGTAGTATATGCTAGTACACTTATACTGTAAAAAAGATAAGTTGGTAGGCAACAAAACATCCATGCTCCCCCATAGCAGTTAAACATTTAGAGAGGTTGACAATGGTTGTCGCATATCTATTTTAATCATTTGAGGGTTCACAAGGTTCTACAAACTGAAACAAGGGCCTTAACTCTGAAAGTTATTTACAGAAATTGCTGAAATTTAACAGATTGTTTCATTTTACTATTTAAATAAGGCATATAAATTTCATACAGATCCGATGATAACTTTTGTCGTTTGAGCATTCACATAAAGTTCAACAAAGTAAAACAAGGGCCATAACTCTAGAAGTAACTGACTAATTTAAATAATGCATATAAATTTCATACAGATCGGCTGATAACTTTTTTTGTTTGAACGCTCACAAGGTTCAACAAAATGAAACAAGAGCTATAACTCTAAACATAATTAATGGAAATTTCTGAAATTCAATAGGTTTCTTCATCTCAATATAAACAACATATATCAATATAAACAACATATATCAATTTCAAAACAATTAGATGATAAATGTAGTCTGTAGAGTGTCCACAAGAAATTATGGACGACAGACAGATTAAAAATAATAAAAACTAAACTACCTTACATGATTGGTGTTAATAGGAAAACAAAAGCCAGTATATGTACAAAATATAACATGCATACTTACGGAGCTTGAACCTTTGTTGTATATTCTTTAAATTCGCTGTCATGAATCGTAAAATATGGTCGAAAATCTGAGCAATATTTAAGAGGAGCAATTAGACTGCAAGGGAAAAAAAAGATTGGGATTAACTTGAACAATTCATGATGAACATAGGCTATATCACAGAAATAAACATGTTGAATGTATTAATACAGAGTACTGCTTCCAATGACAACAATCCCTGTTGATTGTACACATCACAGAAAAAATATCTTGAATGTACATTACATACACAATGTACTGTTTTTGACCATATAAAAAAAAATGTCTTGAATGTATATCACCAAAAATATATGTTGACTACATGTATATCTTATATACATATTATACGGTTTCTGACGAGTCTTTAATCCTGCTCTTCTGAATTATCTACATTAATTAAAAGACTTACTTGACTAGAGCTTGTACAGTATTTGATGTAACAGTAGGAGAGGCAGCCATAACAGCAATGGGCTAAAATATAAAGATATACTCATATTAATTAATCATAAATATGTAATTTTGAGAACATCTCACAGTAATTTTTCGGTGGTGGATAATTTTGTATGAATCAAGGTGTTTTGCACTACTCCTAAATTTCAAACAAGCCAAGGGATCTTTTACATGCACTACAAGCCTCATTTATAAGATCCCTGGCCAATACAAAGAATAAGAAACAAAGAAAATATATCTAAATTACTTACTTCTCCAATTAAGACTAATTCCCACAGCAATTGTATATGAGGTAGAATACTTTGAAATGAACTAAAACAATAAATATTTATATTAAAAAAAACATGTATGTTTCAAAATTCAGAATTAATACTTAAATGAAGGGATGTTAACAGCAAACTTCTAATAATACAGCCTCTCCTGTAAACGTTGTTACAATTGGCTTCTTGATAAAAAAAAAAACCTGCTTTAAAACTACATTTACTATTCTTTTAAAACCACATAGTACATCATTTGTTGGTCTGTCTTACCTATAAATGTCTACTTCAAATAAAGATGGCAGTATGGTATGAGCTGGTATAGTATGCTGAAAAAAAAAAACAAGAACGATTGTTATTAATCGATAATTAAATGTGACTTTCCAATGCAAAATGTGCTAGTATGGCCTTACTGGTTATTTCTACCTTTATGTAACAATGTTTTGCAATGATGTTATATTAAATTATTAAAAGAATCATATTTTTATGTTAGATTAGTGTTCAATTTATAGTTCAATTATTCTCCTAGGCTGATAAAAGGATGATGTTACAAGGCTAATAGCAATATTGTCAACATTAACACATTGATATGCAGTGCAGTTTGGCGTGGCCACACAGATTGTTCCAAAATACAGATGTGTTCAATTATAAAAGTTCTTAATATGATATATTGGCATGGCACCATTAATTTATCATTGGAGTAATTTTATTATTGCCATGAAGGAAGATTATAAGTTATAGCTCAGCCGAGTCAGAACAAGGATCCCTGACCCCTGAACTCTTTCTCTCCTGTTTATTAGATTTTCATGTCAATAATCAAGCTCAGCTCTATAGCAAATGATCAAATAATACTGATATATGATGAACAATTCACAGTTATAGGGGCAGCATGCCAGAAGAACGGTTAATTAAATAGTCAAGGAATAAGTATAAATACTCTTACTAATACAACTTAATCTAAATTAAGTTTTGCCATTTGAATTTTTCATTATTTTCTATTGATTTTATGCAACCATTTCTAACTGTCCAAGTCAATAAATTGATTGGTAATTTTGAAATATTTATAGTGTAATACACAGGTTTTTTTGTAAAATAAATTACTTATTACCTAGATTTGTGAAAGAAATGTGTCATGAAATTAATGTGAAACAAAGGAAATCAATTTGAATGCATATAGAAATTAATGGGGGTGCTTGATTGCTGTCAACAGCGATGGTGTGAGTTGAACCGTGATGTAATTTAACACAATAAATATGTTTCAGCTGTCATGGTTGATTGAGATTCTTATGCAGTTGGTATATGTGTTGTAGCCCACAATCCCCCTTTTCGCTCGATTGTTGCTATTTTTGGGATTGAGAGAATTTAATTCTGGAACAGTCAATGGAGTATCCTGACATATATTCTATTATAAGAGTATGACAGGGCAGGTTTTTATTAAATCTTAATATACCAGTTTAACTTGCCTAGATAATTACATCAAATACTAGGTTTCTACAATTAGCCTTTCACTGTTAATTACTTTATTGTTCAATCTGATTAAAATACAGATCTATATTTCTTTTCGTTTTTTTATACTTTGGATGGCCTACACTACATGAAGATCTGACCGGTTGTAGTGATAGGTCACGCCAGAGGTCATACGAGCAGCTTTTGACCCTATAAAATCAGACATTTGATTAACCAATCAGCATTGATGTTACTAGTGGATTACCCACAGTTCCATGCAAAACACGGATAAAACTCGTCGTAATAGATCGTTTCATTAGCTAATAGCTCATATCATTCAGAACATGTCAATGATAACAACTCTTCCAGATCCTAGTGTAGTAAAGACAAGTAAAACGAAATTTTAAACTATAAAAACGAAACGAAATATGATCTGTGTTTGAATCAGATTGTTTATTGTTTTGAGAGGTGTGATGTTTGATGACAATACGATTTACTAGAGGAACTACCCATAGTTCATTTTGGTTTTGCTATGTTGCAGAAAAGAAATATGTACTGTAATTTATCTGCCTAATCGTATGTCGCATTAAATATATTAATTTCTTGCTAACATTATTTTTATGTTTTAGAGTAAACATTTAGATATATTTTACTGGATTGTTGCCCCTTTAACTTGAATTAAGTTAACTACTTGCAAGCTTTAAAGATATATTCCTTTCATGTCCGACCAACTTTTACATATCCAGAATTTAAAGATTATATCCAAACTATTCAGAAAATAATATATTTGTTGCTAAAAACAACATATTTAACTAGTTATGAATGAGAAATCCTGTTTTATTTCAAATCTAAATATATCAGCATCAGCAGTAATGGTAAAACCGTTGTCTGCCAAACATCTGACTGACATGACAGTATACAAATCACTTTGGTCTCTAGTTTTATTTTTCTATACCATAAGAAATATCATTTTTAGGTAAACAAAAAGTCTAGGATTGTCCTAGATCACCTTGTCAAACTGGGTGGAACATATCTTTCTAAGCACTATGTATTGAAAATTTATTAAAGTCTCTAACATCATCTGAGTGATAGAGGAATCTACAAAAGTTGCATAGGGACTTTAAGAAATAAGAAAAGCCATTATAGTTAATAATAATGCTGATGATAGATAGACATGTGAGATTACATGTAACTAAGACATCTTGAATATTAATAAGTCCAATCTTGTTTATTCAAATAATACATTTACATGCAGTGAGTTTTATACCATGCATTAATATACATTATCACTTGTAGCTAAAAGCATTTATTAATATTAGAACTGCTGATTTTGATCATACATTTGAACCTGGTTTTTTTTTCTTGTTATTTATTGAGTTAAAGTTATTATTACGGTACAATATAAACATATAAAGCATGTACATATTTCTGTCAATCAAATAATTTTTATCTTACCAATGACTGAGAGCCATTTTTACTTGCAGATCTAACTGAAGATATTTTGTCTGAGACAGTTGGGCGGCAAGGAATTTTAACCTACAGACACACAAATCACCCAAGGTAAAAAAAGGAAATAAAAAAATAAGGCACAAGAAACAAAATATAAGCAAAATAAAAACATGAATTACAAATAAACTGTCTAATCTAAAAAAAAAAACAACTCAAATAAAGATAAATGGTTTTGAAAAAAATCTCAATACAGGTACTGGTTTTTGAAAATGGCAGACAAACTTGTTTAAAAGAAAATCAGGAAACCAAATTGTAAAAGCTTTCTTAGATGAAAAACCTGGATATATTTATAAGTAATCAAAGACTCTTTCTATAAAGTAAGAAATTTATAAATATACATTAAAGGAACTTGTGGCAATAGCATTGCAATATTAGCAGTCAGATTTAAAACATGTCCTCATAGTTTTATTAGATTGAAAGAATATCATTTATCTATCATTGTGTTAAAATATTGGTAAGCTGCGTTATGTTTTAGGTAATTTAAACGCTATATTAAAATTGCATTAAGGACAATAATTTGTTAGCTACCAAGTCATACTGAACACATGATGTTTACTTTTTAATAAGACTCTCCTTATCTTTAGATGGCAATTTGAAAAGCTTGAATTTTCTGTTTGTTATTTAAAAGGTAATGATTGAACTAAATATCATACATAATTACCAAAAAGACCGAATATGCTTCTATTACCGAGAGTTCCTTTAACTCAAACCTTTATACCAAGAAAAAGCACAGAGAGGGTCAGGTCTATTCTATGATGATACCTTTTTTATCATGGATCAGTTTATATTCACCATTGTCATATTTGCCCTTCTGGTAATGCAAATGACTGGCTGCGAAATCTATCGTCAGTCAAATTACATGCCAGAAAACAGTACCATGTACATTTGACATGATTCACTAACCAAATATATTCATTCAATTCATAACTACATGTATTCTTAAATACTACATGCTACATATAGTATAAAAAAGACAATTACAGAAATATTCAATTCTACACAAAGAAAATCTTAAAAATTTCTAAGAAATGCAAAAGCTAGGTTCCAACTCTGTAACTGTACAAAGTATCATTATTATCTTTCTGGGGAAGTTGTTTCAGTTTAACAGCTTTGCGAGTTAAAATCAATGTTGTCAATCAAAGAGAATTGAATATGTCAATGTAGAAAAATGAAAATGAAATAATTGTAAAGATTTGGGAATATACATGTAACACTAGTAAAATAGTACAGTACCTGTAAAACTGAACCCATCATGGGGAGATTTAAAGTATCACCTGGGATAGGAGTAGGCCATTGATCTATATCATGACAAGCTGAAAGAAATACAATCATTATAACCAATAATACAATCATTATAACCAATAATACTATAAAATCATGACCAATAATACTATAAAATAGAATCCTTATAACCAATAACACTATGAAATACAATCATTATTAACAATAATGCTAAAGAATACAATCATTATAACCAATAATAAATACTATAAAATTATAACCAATCATACTATAAAATGCAATCATTATAACCAATATTACTATAAAGTTTTAACCAATAATACTATAAAAATTTTAACCAATAATACTATCAAATACAATCCTTAACCAACCAATAATACTATAAAATACAATCATTATTAACAATAATACTATAAATTATAGTATAATAATACTATAGAATACCATCATTATAACCAATAATACTATAAAAGATTATTATAATAACCAATATCACTATAAAATGGAATCATTATAACCAATATTACTATAAAATACAATAGAAATAGTGAGGGCATCAGTTAAAAGCGCCAGTGGCATGATTGATCAAAAATATCTCAAGTCAGATGACTTGAATTGAACAATGAACAGATAATTCTAACCATCATGATAGTGTGGGCCAAAAAATATTAAAATTGTAATTAGACTGTATTTAAAAGAAAGTGTGATTAGAATCAGCACATCAAAACACTAAAACAAAATTTTAATAATGCACTAAGTGCCAATAAATCCTTATGCCTGAGTGAATCCAGAGTTGTTAGCCACATTAACTATTCAACTGTCCTCTCCAATAAGCCCAATTTGAAATAATCTGTATCAGAAAAAAACACGCTCATCTGACCATTGAATCATCATGAATCAAAGGAAATATGAATACACAGTCTTGTTAAAGATGATGAGAAAATGGAATATGTTACAAAAGGTTTGAGGAGCACACTTACCTGCCTCTAAACTAGGTTCTCCATTATCAAAATATTCAGGAGCTATAATACTAACCACTTGATTAAATAATGCCACAAATGGTAACTTGCTTACTAAAACTAGTGACTGAAAAATGATAAAGATTTGGATGAAAACCAATAACAAATTAATGCATGAATTGAGAACAATATCATTTCTATGTGATTATCTATTTAATAGAAATTATGAATAAAACTTTGCAAAAAAATTGCTCTTGTCTCTACTGACTACAATTTGATTGACCTTTAAATCAGGAATCAAAGCATATTTTAATGAATAAGCATACACTATTGTGCCCAATGTTCTGTGCTTAATTGGCAAGTTGATCACCAATCTATTATCAGCAAAGGATAAAATCTCAACAGGAATTTTATATACTTTCTACAATTATAGTTCCTTTTCTAATTACACCAATTTCCCTGTACAATTTATGATTTGAAGAGATTAACGTTGTAGGCACAAAACATAGGACATGTAGACTATTGACAAGCACTAACCTTCTGAAAATATCCTCTACGTATCGTTCTATCTTTAGTTTGTCGAAAGTAAACAAATCCATAATAATAGGCATTTTCACTCTATTAAAAATAATATTTATTATAACCAATTTAAAACTATTCATTAAACATGTTTACAGTTTGATAACTATAGTAATACCTCAAGAGTATTAATAAACAAACATGTAAACAGTAAACCAAAGACAAAACCAGTTAGTTTATAATTGGTACAAAAAATAAAATGACTACTTAAAGAAAACAAAATACAAATTTCCATGGTAAAATAAAATCAGATCTTAACTTTTGACATGGTTAACGTTGAATTTAGTAATAAGATCCTTTGTTCTTTAAATCCAAAAAGACCACTAATACAGGGGAGGTAACTCTTCCTTTACCTAGATTATCTCCTCTTAGCCCACACAACCCTTTTTCAGTCATATGCCTCACATGTGTGCATTTGTATGAAAGACATATCTGCAAAGTAAAACAAATGCTATAGGCCTAAATACCTGTAAGGAGACAGGACAATCACGATTATATTGATGATGACTTCGGACTATTGGTTTTCTACCAGGACATTGTCTAATGCGGAAATGAAATTGAGTATTTCCCATGCAACCTGTAAAATACATTGTTTAGTTATAAATAAACATATTCTGCTAAAACTTACTGGATATTTCCTCCTACAGAAAGAGATGTTGTTCAAAGGCCAGAGCCACTTTGGGGAATTACTTCTAAGAACGTGAATATATTTTCAAATATTCTTTAATGTCTTTCTATTATTAACTGACACATAAACCAAATAATAAATATTATAATTAAAGATGCATTATGTATGAATGCAATCTAACTATTGCAGATCTTTGTTCCGGCTTCAAAATCAAATGTAATATAAATTATTATTTAACATTTATTAACATGAAAATTCTATAGCCAACTTCTTGGCCATCGGCTTGCTCCAATTTTTTGAAGTAGATGAGAACACAGCAGACATCTAAAATTTCAACAATAAAATAGATAATCAGGACTTAGTCTCGGCTGTCAAGTACCATTGCTTCCATAATATACAACCTACACTACATTTTGTCAAAAGTTCACTCATAAACAAATGTTTCCTGTATGGTAGTTTAGAATTTTTCATCATTTTTGTTAAAGTTACCATATAACCTCAGATATCCAGGGGCTAATTTATTATGGAAACATTGACCCAGGGCCTGTAAATTTCCTATGGGGCCAGTTAATTTTGATTTTAGATTGCCAAAATGTGTGCATTAATATCAAAAAGTGGGAGGAAACCAGGTGACTCAATTTCAACAGTACAGCATATATTTGTTTAAAGTATTAAGATAAATTTATGGATCACTATGGATCACTACTGGTCATCTTGACCAACTAATTTGGAGTTTACTTGCGGCTATTCAGTTCCAAGTCTATTTTGCCAAAATGACCAGTCGGTCCTATACATGCAGATCATATATTTTAAATCAATACCTGGACATTAAAGAAATATATCTTTAATAAATCTCACCCGAATTTGAATCTGGAAATGACAGGTAGCATATATTCATTTTCTGAAAAATTAAACATAATTAATTTCAATCAAATGTATCTCTGTATTATACTAAGACAATAATGTTAATTTATGGAACAATGTTAAGTCATGGCAGTCAAGAGAGATAACAGTATGGGGTCCTCTATATCTGCTCCAGGTTTTAAGCAACTATTATGTATTATGATAAGACTAACTTATAAATGTAACTACTAGCAGGTAAGGTAACTTTTTCTGGAATTTGACCTGGTTTTAACCAGCTGTATATTTTCTATTATGATAAATCTGAAGTTTAAGTACTAATGCATTGCTTAAAAAGAAAAAAAACAAAACAATTAAAGTTGATAAATAAGTGGCAGAAAATATGTGTTTTTGTTCATTTCACAGTTGTTCTTACCTCTTTCTCGGTTAATTTGATATGTCCTGGGTAGATCAACTAAAGTATAAAATATATAAACATATCAATACCGGTAACATATAAATATTAAAAGAATAAATCATGACAAAGTAGAAACAACAGATACACATGTAATGAAGACAGCTGATAAAAAAATATGCATAATAAAATAGGCCTTATTATTTCCTCAAAAGCAACTCTTGCTGATTTATACATGTAGGCCTATGTCACTTATAGCCCTCAATCTTGAGGAGAAATGGTGGCTTGGTGAATAAGGTGCTGGCTTTTTATAGTTATATTAGCATTGTTGGCACAAAAGAACCCTTGACAGTCATTGGAATGGAACTTGAAGTAACAGTAGACTGTAGCACCCCTGCTCGGGCAAAATTTCCCTCATGGTCATAGCGTATTACATAGCTTATGCAGAAATGTAGGACGTTAGACCCAATTTCATTTCGTTGCCTTTTGATGAAAATAATTTGACAACAAAGCTGTTCTGGGAGTACATCACGGAGTCATCATAAGTATACGCTCTCATTGAATTATACAATTGATCTTGTACCTCCATAGCTTGGCCCAATTCTAAATCGAAGGTCACAACACAGGCACAGTGGAGCCAGTTAGAAAATTTATCCCATGGCAATATCGTTGGTGAAATTGCCATGTTTTCGTCTGCAGGTGCCCGTTCTATGTTATCCTCCTCCATTTTTCTAACAACCTTCACCTTGGGAAATTGTGTCAGGTTTGTTTTTGTTCGTAAAAACTGACTAATATTAAAGTCTTTCATGTTTAATCGACTTTTTGTTTACATTATATGACACAGTAAAACTGTACGGAAGAGACAGATAAGCGGATATTTGGAAATAGACAATTTTTACCAAAAATAGCCTTTTTGCTTTGAGGTTATTTTCGCTTCAGGATTTTCAACATGGCTGTCTCTTGAAAGAGATCTCTGAAGATGTAGGGAAGAAATGGTAGGTTTATTTGTTAACTCCATCTTGGTTATTACCACCGTTTGCAATAGATAGGTTGGTAATTTATGTAAAGTAATCTGAAATGTCTTCTTTATGCTGTTATCTTCTTCATGCCAAATTTATTTCCCAAATTTCACGTGTGATCAATGTCATCGACCGACAAAAACAATCAAAAGTAACTTGTTGAAGAAAACGGGCTAGGCCTAATTAGCAGAACTATCTTCCTTCCCCTCTTCCTCTTTATATGTTTTTTTTTCTATTTTGTTACAAATTTGGACGGAACTAGTCTATCAAATTCTTCCAATTTTACTAATTATTAAGGTCCTGGTCTATCTGATAAAATGGAAGCCTGACTAGGCCTAGTGACTGAGTGAGTCACTTGCCAAATTTGGATGGAATCTAATCATATTTAAGGCCTACTTTGATTAGACTTATTCAGTTGTTGATTTTTTTACCCTTGCAAATCCATTTTCTTTATTCATCTAGTTTTTGAGAAGTAAAATAACAGATTGGGCATGTGGTAATTAAATACCATCAGCATGACAGGGAGCAGGTCGTTTCATCCCACTACTGGTTCACCCTGGGCTGTTTCATCTGGGCTGTTTCATCCCAAATTTACACGGGTCCTTTCATCCTACTAATATCGAGTCGTTTCATCCCACAAATTTAAAAACCGGTATTACATGAATTTTTAATATTTTATTTATACATTAATACCAATAACAATATGTCAATGCAATTTTATCATGATTAATTGGTTTCACTATAACAGGATTGCCAGTGATAGAACAGTTCAAAGAATAAAATTACACGTAGCCACTATTTCGACACATGTTATCTTGAGATGTTCAGACTACCTGGCGCCTCAAATAACCCAACGTTAAAAGAAAGCAAATTACAACAAGTTCCATTGATTTACTATTTATTTTATCATTTATCACACAGTTTAGACCACAATGTGTTACGATTCACATTTTGGTATTCTAAATGAATTCTTATATTTGGAATTGTTTAGTTTCATTTCGTGTACAGAAATTAAATCAACGATTAGTTTTAAAATTAATTATCAATCTAATTTGTCTTATTTAAAAGGGGCTCCTGCGCAATTTAGTTGATTATTTATTAATACGTATAGAGCCCATGATGTATTTTGGCGAGTGATTAAGCTCAATAAGCTGTCAATATGTAATTATAAAATACCTTTTTATAAAGAAGATAAATGATGTTAGACATCATAAACTAACAAACAATACATACGAGTATACTTTATTACAAAAACATCGGTGAACTAATCTAAAATCATAACGGCAATTAACTATCAATACGAATAAACAATACGAATGAACAGCAGTGAACTAATCTCGGTCGTGATCGGTAATCAACAAAAATCGATGAGTAAAACTTATTCATTCCATACATTATTGTTTATTTAACAATAAGTAAGTGTTTAACAGTTTATTTAACGATAAGTACAACTCAGTTAATTGACTGCTATTATAATAACAAGGGGGATTAAACAGCCCGGGATGAAACAGCCCGATGAAAAATTAGGTTGGGATGAAACAGCCCGGGAAGAAACGGTTGTGGGATGAACTGACCAGCATCCATATCATGACATATACTAAATCAAACAGATCTTTCAGTTTCAGTACTAAAAAAAAATAAGTAATTAATCCTGTTGCAGAGTTCTTAACACCAGTGCTTATTCTTTGTAATAATATCAATATGTTATGCATTAAAGAGCCACTGACACGCTCACCAAGACAATGTCCTGTAATTAATTGTTCAGGATACCGATACTTCATCTAGGTCATTAGATATATTCCCTTTTCTTGGGCATTAGCTTTTTGTTTTCTTCAAATAACATATGATAATTTAATTTTAGGTGGAAGGGGAGATAAACCTGGACCCAAACATGGCAGCGTTAGCTATCTTGACTTGTCGACCAAATTCACATCCATTCCAGGAGCGTCACATAACTCTAGGGGAACCTGTCAAAGTGGGTCGCTCAGTTGCTCGAGCTAGACCTGCAGCTAGCAATGGAATATTTGATTGTAAAGTTCTGTCAAGAAATCATGCCCTGTTGTGGTATGAAAATGGTCAAGTAAGTCATACATGTATATAATAAAATTTGTTCCTTTTTTATACGCCCACATTGAAATGTGGTCTTATATTGTTGTTGCTCCCGTCCGTCCGTCCTTCCGTCCAGCGTCCACAATTGCTTGTGGATGCTCTAGAGGCTAAAGTTAATATCCAATTGACTTTAAATTTATACACAGTGTTTAAGGTCATGTGACGAAGAAGCCTATTAATTTTCAGCTATTTCTAATAATTACTGCCAGAGTTATGGACCTTGATCACTTAAAAAAATCTTGTGGACGCTCTAGAGGCTAAACTTAAAATAGGGGTGATGATTTTCCGTGATCGTGGAAAAAACGCGGAAATCGCGGAATTGTCCACTCAAAACGGAATTTGAAATCTCACACGGAAAAAGACGGAAAAGCCGATATTTGCTGATACTAAACACAAACTCAAAATAATTTTGCAGTTATCCAAGTATTTCATCTTTTTATTCATAAAAATCGGAAATATTGAATGATATCGCGTGGTTTTGTTACTGTCTATTTTAGTATTTCGCTACTTTCATTTCATCATTTAGGAATCATAATTTTAATCGAAACGAAAACCCGTCTTTCATGTATCCCATTATAAAATTACTCTGTAGTTTAACTTGAATTAAACATTGTAATGTATATACATGTCTTAAAAAAAACTTGTCACTTCATAAAAGTAAAAATCGTTTCATTTACTTCTTATTTTACTGCCGGGCTCGTGACTCGTGTTTATCCGCATTAACCACGTGACATCAGAAATATACCGTAGCCTTGTGAATCCAGCCCTTATTCTCGAAGAAACGGTAGTAACTACGAAGATGTCTGGATAAATCGCGACTACACCTAGCAGCTGAGAAAAATGGCTTCGTCTGCTAAAAAGATGAAACGAGCTCACAAGATGTAATTTTCTGTTATTTAATTCGGGAAACAGGTTTAAAGAATAACTAGTCATTGAACATTACAAGTCATTCACAATTCAACATTTGTTATCATTGGTTTAAAATGATCCGTTTTGTAATAAAAGGCATTTTAAGATGTTTTATTCATTTATTCATAAAATAACATTTTATCTCGAAAAAACGGAATATGGTCAGCTCTGAAACGGAAAATAACGGAATTAAAAATACTTAAAACGGAATTTGCTATTTTCTGAAACGGAAAATCATCACCCCTATTAATATCTGATTGACTTTAAATTTATAAACAGTGTTTGAGGTCATGAGATGCAGAAGCCTATTCATTTTCAGCAATTACCGATAATTACTGCTAGAGTTATGGCCCTTGAACACTTTGAAAAATCTTGTGGAGGTTCTAGAGGCAAAAGTTAATATCCGATTGACTTTAAATTTATACACAGTGTTTAATTAAGGTCATGAGACGAAGAAGCCTATTGATTTTCAGCGATTTCCGATAATTACTGTCAGACGTTAAATTTATACGCAGTGTTTGCGGTCATGAGACGAAGAATCCTATTGAAGTTCAACGATTTCCAATAATTACTGCCAAAGTTATGGCCCTTGTTCACTAAGAAAAATCTTGTGAAGCTCTAGAGGCTTATGTTATCATCAGATTGACTTCAGATTGATACACAGAGTTTAAGGTCTTGAAACGAACAAGTACAATGTATGATTTTCAATGAATTTTGATAACTTGAACAGCTAAATCCATGATATTAAAATATTTAGTATACTAAACGTTAGCATGGGACAGAAATTTATAAAAAAAACAAACAAAATTTAATGATTTCTGATAATTACTTGATGAGTTGTTACTCTTAATCAGATTTTAGTGTATTGTAAATGTTTCATTACTGAAAAAGTAAAAAATATGGGACAACTCTTGTTGACTGCCCTGACGATTTAGCTGCTGTGGACTTGTGTTTTGTTGCCTGGCAACCTATCTTTGTAAAATCTGTACCCTATGTGTGGATTAATTAGAGTTCATGGAGAACAGATAATTGTAAATCTTCTTTAAATTACATCATCTCAGTAGAAAATGATGTATGTTAGTTTGTCAATGGGGGAGCCACGGTGGCTAGGTGGTTAAGACGCTGGCTCGCTAGCCTGGAGGTCGGGTGTTCGATCCCTGCATTGGCTGAGAAAGTTCATCAGGATTTTCTGATGTGGTTTCCCCTTGTCAGTGGTGCAGAACGGAGGGCCTGACAAGGACAGCTGTCTAGTCCTTCGGATGAGACAAAAACCGAGGTCCCGTGTATACATTGGAATGCACGTAAAAGATCCCTTGGCAGTTGGAATTTGATATAAGAGTAGGCAATAGTGCCGCTGCTCGGGCAAAATTTCCCTCATAGAACACTGTATGGCGTATGCCCATCTTCATAATAGCCCAGTATAGGAGCAGAACAGTAGAACGTTAAACCCCATTTCATTTCATTTCTTTGTCAATGGCATTTTCATTACAAACAACTGTGTCATCGCCATTTTTGCAAATTGTACAGTCTTTAAGTGAAGTGACACATGAAGGGGAAATAGCTGGTGTTGTCACCATCTTTACAAATTTTCAAATAAAATTTAAGGCCATTACATGTGAATAAATACTGGATTACAATTGCATCAGTACTTGACACTTCAGTTGAAATTTTTGTGTTATATTTGGAATTTTGGCCAAGATACCAAGCGGTAAAGTTGCTGATTTTTTAAAACATAATTATGATTTAGCGGCCTAAACTTAATTTGCCCTGCAGTAATAAAATAAAATGCAGTACTCTGCTTTTTTTTGTACCATCAAATGATTTCAAGAAGCTTATAATTAATGCAATAACTTTGTTGAATTTTGATAGATCATTTGTCATTGATCTCTTTTATTATTTGACAGTCCAGCTATAATTATCAACAAACAAACTATGGTAACTCTTCCACAAAAGTTGGCCAACTTTATGAATTTCTGGGAAACCCCCAGTCAAAGCCGCTTCAAAAGTGCAATTTTAAATTTTTAAAATGGTAATAGGATTGCAGATTGAATGTCTGAAACCCCCATATCCAAAATTTAAAATATTTATATTTGTTCAGGGCATATGAAAAATTACTGGTACCAGATTTATTTAATTATCAAGTGAAAAAATTTAAACAATCTGAATTGTCTAAACAGTATCATATATTGTTATAAAAGTTTGTTTATAAATCAATTCATGATTTAAACAAATTATGAATGATACAAAAGGCAAAAAAAAAAGTGTGAGATACATCCGTTCTACTCAACTAATCCCTGGGTCCATTCCCGGGGGAGACACAAAGTCATTTTATTGCAACTTTATTGTAAACTGTTTTTTGATTGGTTCATAATTCGAACTCGTGAAAACCCTGTGAATAGACCCAGAGGTTAGTGGAGTAGAACGGAACAATACCACTGGAGATACCGAGGATGAACATTTCATTAGAAGAAACGAATGGATTTCAAACATCAGAAAACAAGTTTTCATAGCTCATCATTAACTCCCAATTACATTATCATTTCAAATAAATTTGAATTTTCTCTTATCCAAATTTGTCTTGTCAGTCACAATGACATTGTTCTGTCTGTCACACATAAACACTCACCCTTGAAAGTATATTTTTAACATACATGTATTCCTCTCAATCTCAACCTTGCCCCAGATATGATGCTTAATTGTATAGTAAACATTATTACAATATTGTTTTATTAAAGATACATTCCCGCGTACAAACTGGGTGATTTGATGATATATTCATTAAAACTAACTATTTGTTTCCCATATAAAATATTATGCATGCTGTATTTCTGAACAAAATAGAAATTTGTGATAGTTGGATATCTACAGAATACGTAGGTAACCACCGATGATTGTCAGGTAACCGATGATTGTCAGGTGATGAATAATTTGGTCAGTTTTGAGGATATAAATTTTTCGGGCATTCATGTTTGTGAGGAAGAGCTGTCATGTGTGTGTGTGTGTCACAAACGTCTGTTTGGCCTCAGATCAATTTTTTTGAATACTGCATACAATATGTAGGTATTCAAATTATACACAATTTTTCCTATACATGTTTAGACCCTATACTTGTACCTTGTCCGTCCTTCAATCACCTTTTGTTAATCATCCTCTCTCTAGTCTCTAAATACATGTACATTACGTTTATACTTTATAGTATACTGTAAATGTATTTTATCAAGTGGATCTTTGGGAGATCTCAGAGTGTTCACCTTGAGAATTAAACCAATGGTCCTTTCCCTTTATTTTTATATGACATGACAACCAGGGACATTTTTTTTGCTGCATTGTATACATGTATCCAAAAACTAATGTTTGTGGATATCAACCTCTATTTAGTATTTGAATGCAGTAATCTCAACACAGTGCTATCAATATAGTGTGAGTACTGTATTTTATACCTTTATCTGTACTACATGCACCCATGTAGACATGTATATACATGTACATGGCATTGTGTTGAGATAAGAGGTACAATACACATCACAATACATGTAAATAATCGGGTCACTGATTTAACAAGAAAATCTAATTTAAATTATAAATAGATCACCGTAATGTTTGTATTTTAATATACATACATGTAAGTTAAGTTATAAGTACTTGTTAAAGTAAAACTTGAATATTCTGTTAAACTGCTGACATGTTGTGGGAGAGTTTTTCATTGCCAGAAATCTGTTATAAAGTAAAGATGCATCATAATCTCATAGCTTGATTAATCCCTACTAATATATACTCAGATCGATTATTTAACATTTAATCAAGAAAACAAAATCAATATACCAATGCTAGATAATCTCCCAGCTTGGATTCAATCGGATCAATCTGAATAAACCACAGATCCTATTTCGTTTCGTTTTTTATAGTTCAATATTTCGTTTTACTTGTCTTTATTAGACTAGGAGTAGGATCTGGAAAAGTTGTTATATTACCGGTGTTCTGGTTGAAGTGAGGGATTAGCCAATGAAATGATCTGTTATGGCGAGTTATTGGTGTGCGATGCATGGAACTGTGGGTAAACCC